TGCTCCCAACCCTGCTTTTCCTTTCCCAGGCCTGAAGGCACTGTCAGCTTTCTGGGCTGGGGATGGTGGGAGTGGGGATGCGCCAGGGTCCCTGCGCTCCCTCCGGTCCTCTCCCCAGTCATGTGGGTGGACCCCGTTTGAGGAAAGGTAGGAGTTCCTCTCCTTTATTCTCCAGCTCTCTCTTCGTCTTTTCTGTCTCTGCCTCTCTTGTTTTGGAGCCCAGGAATATGTGCTTTCCTCCTCTGAAGCCTATGGGGCTCAGTGTCCCCACGGTGTCCTAAGGCTTGAATGGCGCCATCAGGATGGGAGAAGCTGGGGATCTGCTGCCCTGAACTCGCCCCACTCAGCCCATCCAGCCTTCTCAGTTTCAGCTTCTGAGGGGCGCCAACTACCCCGGAGCCTGCTAACCCCCATAAGGAACCATTCCAGCGCCTCACAGCTCACACCAGCTCTAGCTCAGCCCTTCTGGCTCCTCCACTTCTTCCCAGGCTCCGAGGGACAATTTGAGTTTCTTGCGCTGTGGGTTGTCTCCCAGCTGTCTCCTGGCTGCAGGACTCTGCGAATGCAGAAGCTGCCAAGCTTCCGTTCCCCACGGGCATCTCCAGCCACTGTCACATATGGCCCTGACCCCCTTCCCCCCCGCAAAGCACTCCTGCAGGATGTTGCACCCAAATTGTGCGTGTGGTGGACACACGCATGCCATTCATGCACGCAAACGCATGCTGAGTTGGCCTCCATCTCTACCCACTGGGAACAGCTGACTAACCTGTCTCATCACAGCTCAGCTGCACATGCCTTTTCCTGGCCTCACCCTCTACCTTCCCCAGCAGCAAAGCGGGGGAACTCCAGAGGGAGGATCTGCTAGGGACCTTGCCCCTTTAGGCTAGTGACAGCATCTGAGATGTGGCTCAAATAAAGGGTAGATGTTCAAAGGAAACAAACACCTAGATGTTCTGTAGCTACACCACCCACTTTACAAGCCATTTGCATATGATTTGTGGGCAAAATGAAGCCTGGCCTGCTCTAGCCATCTGAGGAAACAGTGAAGAAACAAAATGGAGTCGCCATATCCATGCTCACACAATTATTTAAATCAGAATGGGCTTTCCCTGGCTGGTGTGGCTCAGTTGGTTGGGTGTCATGCCACACACTGAAAGATTGCAGGTTCGATCCCCAGTCAGGGCACATGCCGGGGTTCAGTCCCAGATTGGGGTACTTACAGAAGGCAACCAGTCAATATTTCTCTTCTCTTTCTCCCTCCTTTCTCCTCTCTATAAAATTTTTTAAAAAATAAAATAAAAAAAGAACAAGCTGAAACATGAAGAATAGATTTGATTTTATTTAAACTAGCCTGAGAACTTAAATTTTTCCGTTGTACCTCAATGCCTGGAAATATACAAAATTCCTAGAGATAACCTTCTGAAGAGCTTAGGAAAGAATGTTCACATGTCCAGACCACCTGACATGCATTATCTAGACCGTTGGACATCTGGAAGATTACTGTCTCGGACCAATCCAGGGGCTAAGAATGCAGGACTGATTTTTCTCAAGAATGTACTTTTATTATAAGAACTCCCCATTCTTTTTTTCTGAACACTCTGTCAACCTGGCAGTGTTTTTTGTTTGTTTGTTTTCTTGTTTTCTAATTTACAAATCTTGAGACCCTTGAATAAAACTTTGAGATTTAATTCTAGCGAAACTTCCTGATTTCTAGTGGACACCCCCAAAGCCTCCCTCCTTCATCACCCCTGGCTTAGTTTAGCATCCGCTCTTTCAAGGCTTTGCTAATCCCAGAGATCAAGGGGTGATCAGTTCTCCCTGCCGTTCCCTTGCACTCCCCACCCTTGGCTCCTGCCACACTTTGTGAGATTCCACATCATCAAAGGACATTATTCATGGTGAACCTTTGCTGAAGCCCTGCTTCCCTGGTGCCAGGGCTTGGGAAGAGGATGCATGGTTTGGTGGGGGGAGGGAGGCTGATGCAGAGGTGGGACCCAGGAGTCTTGAGTCTTTAGCCTTCAGTGTAACACATCCCTCCTCCTGCATCCCCAACTCCCTTCACCCTGCTGAACTTGGACCTCCTCCAGACTGGTGGGAGGGAGGAGGAGGGAGGTGGCTAGGTCCACTTAGAGCAGCCCCTGAGCTTCTCAAAGACATGAACCAGTCATGTCATTTATGTGTAAACAGAGATCCTACTTCTATTCCTCATCCCACCGGAGGCTCCCAACCTTGGGTCCTGGCCCTGTAATTAGGTGGACAATGGGAAGCTTTAATGAGGTATCATTAGCCTTTCACATAGTAAAGGGGCCTTGAGACCCAGCTGCTGCCCTCACTCAGGGTGAGCTTGGGTGGAGCCCTGTGCAGCCAGAGTAACTGCTCTCAGTGTGACACACATTCCAGGGCGGGTAGGGTGCTGAGAACGTGGAGTCGGGGGGATACACGTTTCTGTACCCTAACCGCACTGGAGGGGCTCTGTGGAGGATCCGCACTGGGTTGCAATGCAAGAAGCTGGGCTCAGGCTTTTTTTTTTGTTTTAAAAATAAATTTTTATTGAACACCTGTTATATACCAAACACTATAGAGCTAGGGATCCAATAGCAAACAAAATGGATGAAAGTCCTGGCCCTTGTCATACTGACCTTCTGTTGAGGGTGGCGTAGACAGACTGGATGTAAAATACTTAGCATGTTGGATGTAGTATATGCATGAAGAAAAGAAACAGGCAGGGGATATGGCGTATGAAAGGGGTAGTAATTTTAGATAGGGTGTTTGTGGAAGGTGTTGGTGAGCAGAAGACATTGTAGTAAATACAAGAGAGTGATGGTTCTCTTCCCCAATCGCAAGAGGTAGAAGAGTACAAGGTCCCCAATCTCCACGTCTCTTGGAGAGGTGGGTCATCACGCCCTCTGAGTTAGCTATTTACTTGCTGGTCAAAGCTCATACCAGTGCAATAAAATGAAGGGAAAGTTTAGAGTGATGAACTCTGAATCTGAGGTTGTTCTGCAGTAGCTGTCTGTCCTGGAGCATGTGACTGAACTTTCTGAGCCTCAGTGTCCTCATCTGAAAAATGGGAATATTTCCTACTCCCATGACAGTGGGTGATGAAAAACAAGTGACTTGTTCTGTGCCAGCCTTGCAAAAGTTCAAACCCTGCACCCATTATAAATGGTGGAAGTGATGAATCTCTCTGAAACAACTGTCGCGTCGGTCGCCTCTCCCCTTATGTTTTCTCTCTGTATCTTCTTGCCCATCCAGACTACGACTCTGCCTCTCCCCTGGGGCTCTACCTTGGGTGTGAGATGAACAGCATAAGCCCTCCCAGCCGTGTGGGCCGCAGACAAGAGGCTCAAAAGGTCGTGGGGAAGGTGCCCGAGCTGCAGGAAGACAGATAAGAGTGGGGAAAAGTGTAACCGTGAGAAAAAAAGAAGCAATTAAGAGACCAATGCTGGGGGTGAGGGCAAAGGTAAAAGAGCTTAGCTGTAGTGTTTTGTTCTTCCACTCTGAGATTACAGCAGGACTAGAAGTTAGAACTCTAGAATGACACAACTAAATCAGGCCGATTAGGGGTGAAGTAGGAGTGAAGGGAGGAGGCCGAGAGGAGAGGCACTGGCACTGGGAAGATGGCGGATGGAGCCAGACACTGATGAGATCTCTGCAGTTCCACAGCAGGAAGAAGTAATGACTCTCAGTTGATCTGAGGACCAAGGTGAAATGGGCCCACTCCAGCTGAGAGAACAGAGGACGCCATGAGGGCCAGAAGGGATGCCAGGATCACCTCCTCATCCTCAGAGGCCGGAACTTGGCTGTCCTGGTTATTTTCTTGGTGGGAGGGCCAGAGAAGTGCCAGCTTGGAATTGTTTTGGCCTGGCAATTTAAAGGGCAAAGAACTGGTGGGTGAACAAGGAGGAGAAAGAGGCCCAGGGACCACACCTATTGAGCTTGATCCGGTGGCCAAATTTTGTGACAAATAACACACAAATTATTCCCAGTTCAAGGACGGTTAGAAAGTGGGCTGCTGGATAACCCCAGCTCACTGCTGGGTTTGTGGTGTGTGTGCATGTGTGTGAGCGTGTGCGTGTGCGTGCGTGCGTGCGTGCGTGCGTGTGTGTGTGTGTGTGTGTGTGTGTGTCTGCATCCTGTACCCTCCTTCCCACCAGCCTTCCCCCTCCCCTCCAGCCATCCTGGGATTGGCGATTCTCAGCCCCTCCCCCGGCTCCCCCAGACCCTCCCAGAGCCTTTATCAGGGAGCTGGGCTGGAGATCCTGCCACATTCCCTGATTCCCTCTCCCTGATTCCATCCTCACAGCAGCACCAGCAGCACCAGCTTTTGTGGGGAGCAGGGCAGAAATCCCAGCCAGCTCCCTGATTCTACTAGACCATCCATCTGTAGGCTCAGAGCTGCTCCAAAGGTAGGCACGGACGGACGGGAGAACATTGGAAGGACTGAAGCTGGAACCCAAGGACAGGGGCCAGAGTCAGGAGAAATAAAGGAAGTGGTAGCTTTTGATCGGGGAGCAGAGTGGGGTACTGGGAAGTGAGCAGAAAGCAGAAAGAAAGGGGTTGAGAGCTAGTGATGTTTGGAGCTTGTGGGTCCAGACTGATTGTTCCACATTAGAAAGTTTTTGCCTAAGTCATGGGGTTGCCTAGTGCTGGAAAATAGCACCCAGGACCCCTCTTCACGCCAACTAAGGAAAAAGACCCGTGCATGTCCGAGAAACCTCTCATCTTCCTTTGGAGCCTACAGTCCCTGACACTGTTGCACCATGGCTCGTTCCTGCCAGTGCCCATCCTGGGGAGATGTGTCTGATGGGGGAGCAGGGAAACCAAGCCCAATGGACGTTCCCCCTGCTCAGAGGTACTCTCCCCAGACCAGGGTTTGGATGGGAGAATAGGGGGCTGGTGAAGCAGGATCAAGCCAGACTGCTGGTCGTGAGTGTTTCCTGTATTATGTCCCCCTCCTCCCTGCCTTCCCTTCCTGCCTCTTTGCTCTCCTAGGCACCATGCGGAGCGCCCTGCTGTTGGCAGCCATCCTGGCCCTCAGCCTGGCCCTAGGGGCCGTCTGTGAGGGGTCACAGGAGCAGGTGGTGCCCCGTGGGGGCCGCAGGGAGGTAAGGCACCCCTCCAGCCGGGCCCGCCTTGGCGGATGAGAAAACGGTTCTGCTGGTTCCCAAAGCTGCAGGGAGAAGGTGTGGCCCGTGGGCTGGGAGTTACCTGGGTTAACAGTCAGAGGGCTGGGTTTCCTGGCCTCTCTGGCCAGCTCATGTTCTCACTGTCTTTGGTTATGTCTGTAAGTATCTCTGCCCCTCTGCACGAGTTTAACACCTTGTATGTAAGAGGTGCCCTTCCAGTATGACTGGTGACTTGGTGATTGGATGGCACTTAGAGGGGCAGGCTGGGGTGGGCCAGGTTGGTCTGAGGTTCTCTATGGTCCATCTAAGGTTCTGTCCCTTTGCAGGGTGGCGGGGTGGGGGAGGGAGATTCTATCTACTCCCTTGATGGTGTGTAACACAGTCAGAATTTCTCCCCTGAACTGTCATTTGAATGCTCCTTGACCTATCAGTTATGTGCATTATTTTGTTTTCAGGATTCCCCTGCTCATCTACCCCTCCACCCTGATAACCTCAGGTGCTCCTAAGATCCCAGCCTTTCCTCTCTCCTCTCTCTTGCTGCCCTCTAGCCCCTGCTTAGTCAGGACAGGAAAATAACAATAAAAACAAACACAAGCCGGGTTAGGCCCTGATTTCTGTAATTCCTCTAAGAAAAAGAATAGGACTTGTCAACGTAGGGCTACAGGAGGGGAACAAGGAAGAAGTCTTTTTAAGGTTTTGAAATGATAGCAGTTATATTGGTACAAATGCTTTTAAGATGATTATAGTGGAACTCATTACACATTCAGTGTGTGAAGTCTAACTGCCTTTCTAGCTCAAATCTGTTTAGCATCTTATTACAGGAGGCGGGCTGAGCATTTGAACAATTTGGGGAAAGTGGCTGCCTGGGAAGCTGTGCACTGGGCAGAGAGATCGTCAGCCTTCGCGCAGCTGGCGAGGTGGGGCAGGACACGGCGGGCTGACAGCCTTGCAGGTGGCAGCAGCTGTGCCAGATTGAACAGACAAGACCAGTTAAAAAAAAAACACGCAGAGCGTGCCAAGCATAGGCTGGGCCCTGTGTTTGGAGCCCAAAATTCCAACTCAAGATAGTCAGAATATCTGGGTATATTGCTCTGAGACAAACTTGCTTCGAGACCTTTCCCCTCTTGGTCAATGAAAGAGAGAGATTACTGTCCCATCCTGTCTTCCGGCAGGTCTGTGAGAATGAGGGAAAACTGGGCAGGAAAGAGAGTGGGATATATGAGCGTGTGGGCTGATGGGTTGGTCCGTGCGGGGGAGCATCCTGTGTCAGTGTGCTTCTGTGTGTGCTTGGCAGCTCAGGGACCTGTGGACTCTGGAGAGAGAGGCACCTCTGAGATTCAAGGTGAGGGTCTCCAGACATGATCCTTTTCCTTGTCTCTCTGCAACTGCAATAAACTGGGTGTGTGGTGTGTGCCCACCAATCATCCTCTAGGGTAGAAAGAGGAGCGGGAAAGAAAACCAGAGGCAGAAACCCATGGAGAAGAGCGAGAGGCAGTGGGAAACACAGGGAGAGAAACTTCCACAGACATAGCACGAAGTCGGGGCACAGTTGCTGATGTAGCGTGGCTCTCTACCCCTACCCCAGGATTGAGTCCTGTGTGCAGCTCAGTCCTGGACAGGTCAGAGGACATTTGCTCTGTCTGATGAGCCTGTCTTGCGAGTGGAGCAATTCATGGCTCACTCAGTGGGGCAACCACGTCCTTGGGCAAACTAGTTCATGATGTGCTGGGGAGCAAAGAGCTGAAGGCCCTCCTCACAGAGAGACAGTAGGAGCTGGGAAAGGCGTCAATGGAAAGGGCTCAAAGGGATCCCTTTGTTTGGAGATGGCATAACCAACTGTCTGTTTCGCTCAGACCTCCTCAGCCTGCGCACTGAAAGTCCCACGTCCCAGGAAGGCCCTTAGTCTTGGGCAAACAGGGACAGTTGGTCAGCCTTCAGGGATACACAATGTGTTTCCTTTGCCAGGGCTTCTCAAACCTCGCTATGCTCATGAGTCACCTGGGGCCCGGTTAAAACGCAGATTCCCTCTCAGTAGGTCTGGGGTAGCACTGAGATTGCGTGTTTCTAACAAGCTTCCAGGGGTGATGCTGCCGGCCCCCAGACCATACTTTGAGAGCCTACTTCTCTTCCACTGTAGATCAGAGGAAATCCTGAAAGAAATAAGATATCAAGTTCAGCTGCGATAAACTCAAGAAAAGGCTGTTCTTTGTGGGAAAATCGTGAGTGGATTGGGTGCGAGCCTCCTGATTCACCTTCTTTGTTTCTCTCCCCTAGAAGTTCCCAGATATCAACCAGTTGCTCAAGACGCTTTCTGGCAGTGGCTCAGTCTCTGTGGATGATTTGCTCAAAACTCTGGGCAAGGCTAGCAAGGGTAGGAAGTCTCCCTGGGGAGAGGGAAGTGCGGGGGCAGGAATCTGAAGATTAAATAGGCCTGGGCGCACCCTCCAGGTGGGGAGGAGGCTGGAGATGGCTTAGTGAATAACAGAGAGTTGTTATCTGAACCATCCCTAGTAGAATCGCTTTTCAGATTTTACTCCCCAGTTACACGCTTGTTCTTGTTTTCACAGATCCTAAGAAATTGTCATTTCTCCAGAAACGTGAGTAGCCTCTTCTCCGTTCCTATTTCTACAGACCACTTGCCCAGAGCTCTACAGGCATGAGGCCCAGTGACTGATGGTTATGTTGGCCCTTTTCCTGCAGGTGACATGCATGACTTCTTTGTGGGACTTATGGGCAAGAGGAACATCCAGCCAGGTAAGAGTGTGTGGAGGAACAGTGACAGGACTTAGGGAACTAGCCAAGCATGCAGACACCAAAAGCCTCGTATGTGTCCTCAGAGGGAAAAACAAGACTTCTCTTAGCTACAGTGAGGGTTCCTCAGCCCTATCTACCCAACTCCTTGGATCCACAGTGCAGTGTTTGTTTCCTGGGAGACCTTTATAAGACAGTCCTGCTTCCTGCAGGTTGGGGGTGGTTTGGTCAGGAAGACTCTGCTTCCTCCCAGTCTCCCAAGTTAAGCGTGGCTCTTCTTCCCAACTCTGTCTTCCAAAGTTGCCCTTCATAGCCAGCCCTTCATTGTTGGGTCAGGGTGAAGGTCACAGAAGAAAAATCTGTGCTGGCTGGTGTGGCTCGGTGGATTGATTGCCAGTCTGCAAACCAAAGGGTCGCTGGTTCTATTCCCAGTCAGGGCGCATGCCTGGGTTGTGCGCCAGGTCCCCAGTTGGGGGCATGTGAGAGGCAACCACACACTGATGTTTTTCTCCCTCTCTCCCTCCCTTCCCCTCTCTCTAAAAATAAATAAATAAAATATTAAAGAAAAGAAGAAAAATCCCTCCTAACTACACTGTTTACTTTACCCCAGACGTTCCCATTGATGTGAACCAGGAGAACATCCCCAGCTTTGGCAGCCTCAAGTATCCGCCCAATGTGGAATGAGGTAAGGACTGCTGGTTAGGAGGAGACAGACTGTGTGTTGGGGGGGGGGGGTGCCAGAGAAGCATTTCCTCTGATGCTGCAGGCACTGATGTGCATAATTTCGCCCTCAAATACACTGCCAGTGCCCAGCACACTGTCAAACACACCAACACTTAGAGGTACATGCTTATCTGCGACCACACACATGCACACACACACACACAGCCCTCTTTTTCATCTTATCTCTGTCCCTTGCTTCTTTTCTGATGGGCAACTTCTATTGTTTGGACTCTGTTCTTTTCCTGGTTTGTGCAAAAGATGGAGAGATCATCACCTGATAATTACAGTTACCGCATCCAATTCACAGGCGAAGTGTTTTGTGTCCCAGGTAGGCTGAGCCGTTAGATTATTCAGAGTCTCCATGGACTGGGTCCAGTGTGCAGTTCCACGCAGGAGTGATTCAGGAGGAAATGCAAGAAACTCTTGAAATTCAGTGGGGGTGGGGTAGCTGGAGACTGTATTGTAGTCGCTCTGGGTAGGGTAATGGATAAGAGCATGGCCTGACTTTGAATCCTAGATTGGCCCCTCCCTAGCTGTGTTCCCTTGGTCAAGTTACATATGCCCTGTGCCTCAGTTTCCCCATATGAAAAATGGGAGTGAAAATAGAACCTGTGGATCTGAGGACTGTGTACAGGTAAAGCATTCAGAACAGTACTGGGCACGCAGCGCTCTGTGTTGGCTTTGTTATGACTGTTGTGATCTGGGAGGTGTGGGGAACGTCCCAGTGTTTCCCCTGGCCGACTCTGGCCTGTCTGCCTAGATCGGTCTGGGCTGAACGCGGCCTGAGCGGCCTGACGGGTCCCTCACTTGGTATGCAAGTGCGAGTCCCCCAGGGAAGTGTCTAGTCAAAACACAGAGGCTTCCGCCGGGATGCCATCTTCCCACGCGTGGCAATAGCCGCTCAACTGAATTCCAAAGAAAAGCGGGGTGGGGGGAGGGAGAGAAGGACAGGCATTCAGAAACCTCAGTTTTCACAGAGAGACAGTTGTCCCTCTCCCTGTGTCCCTATTACCCACACTCATTGGTCTCAAGGGAGCCCCAAGGAGCGGGAGCTGTCTCTCAATGAAACTGCCTGTGTGTGACTCCCTGGGCCTGGAGACGAGGTCTGGCCCCCCCATTCAGTGTTAGGTGAGAGGGTGCAAAGAGCCATAATAATCGTAACTCGCTGATTACATGGTACTTACCGTATCATTTTGCTCTCATTAGATGGTTATTTCAGTCCTGCCGACCGCCAGATAATTATACGGGCAGCTATATCTGGATGACATACTCTCCCCCAGCGTTATGCATCAGCCATAAAGATAATTACAGTGCAATTTTGCCATAGTATTTTATACAAATAGCAGAAACAAGTGCATTGTGGAAATCTACTTTTACTGCTTGCTGGTGAATCTAGGTTCTTTCAGAGGGACCAGGCATATAATTGCAGCCTTCATAATCTTACCGCTGATAGAGCATTCCCAACCTGTTAGGTGCCAGGAAGAATAGGACATAAGGTCCCCGGTGGCTGGCATTTAATGGAGATTAGATGCATCTAACAAAGATCATTTTATCATCTTATTTTATTCGTGTGAAACTGCTAAAAAAGGAAGTGATCCCTGGGCCTATTCTTGCTGGGGAGGGGTGTTGGGGGCGGTTCTGGGAAGAGGAGAAGGGACTAGGGGAGGCTCAGGGGGGCCTTAGGACCAGGGCGCATTGGATATGTGTATTGTATGCCTGGTTCGTGGGGATAATATGAACTTTGTTTTTGTTTTTGTTGCTACACTTTTTTTTTTTGCACATACTAACCCCCCAATAGACCATGAACACAGGTGTTTATAAGTAGCATTAGAAGTACACAGAGAAGCATTTCCTCTGATGCTGCAGGCATTGATGTGCATAATTTCGCCCTAAAATACAGCTGGGACGGTGCAAACACCTGCAGCCGGGAGAGTTCAGTCCTCTGGTTCAAAGGCCGAGGGACAGCTTGGCCTAAAACTTCTGTTCTCTCTCATTCTCCCTTACAGATGCCCCTCCCCTTCTCTTTCGGCTTCCCCGGCGGGTGGTTTGTGGGAGTTTTACAGGACAGAAAATGTGACTTCATTTTTTTGGTCCTCAGCACTCCATTTCTGGACTCCCAGGCTGCTTCATGAAGACACCCTGTCACCGTCTCTGAATCCCTAGGTGCATGCACTCCTATTTCCCTGTCTCTCCCCAGCCTTGTAACACGCTTGTGCTTAGACTCCTTCCGCATCCCTCTACCCAACACTGATGCAGAAACTGCTTAGTGAGCACCCCCAGTCCCAGCCAGCACTGACTGCAGATTTCCCTGGCTTCCTCCACAATAAAGGATTTTTACATATGACCTAGAGTGATTATTTTTGGGGGTTGATGGATGAGTGTTTTTTCTCTTCCTGAACGCTTCTAACTATATCACATATACATACATGCTTATATATGATATGCACACATACAAAAACATATCATATATAAAAGGAAGTATTTTGTACACATATTTTTTTCCAACAGCGCCTTACTCAGTGCTTCATACAATTAGTATCAGAAGATTATTTAGTGATTAAAAGAATTGATAAGTGAATTTGGAAGATGGTTTCTAGCACTCAAAGAATTTCATAGACTAGCTTTAGATGAAGAAAAAAAGCAGATATTCTGAAGGGCTTATCTGTATTTATCGGATGGGCCTGGGAGACATTAATCTCTGAATTTGACTCTGCTCAGAGGAGGGAGGTGGGTATCAAGCCTGTGCAAAGATCCAGCTGCAGAGGAGGATGCATCTCTAGCACTGTATTATTCTGTCTCCAAATGTCAAGCATGGGTCCTGAAACAGGTCATGGAGGTGAGATGGTGACCCATACACAGAACTGATAGTCTAGCAGGGCCATGGATACACAATCAATTATTGCTAGGAAGGGGCATGGAGAGGGAAATTACTGAAGCAGCTGAGAAAGAAGGGAACAGATATTTTTAATGTTAATTGACCACCTTAGTTATTATAAAAACATTTTTTCAGACTCTTCTATAATGCTATTGTTACCAGCCTGTAGCTAGTCCACAGTATGCAAGGCACTTCAATGAGGTGTGTGGGTGTCTTTTATTAATCTGATGTGCTAACTATCACAGCCCACTGGTCTCAAGGGGGCTTCTGTACCCTAGTGGAACAGGCTGGGAAGTCCTCAGGTTTCCTGTTTCAGCCTGGAGCAGGGGCCTTGGCCAAGCGTCTGAACTACCCTGATACTAGTCAACATTCAGCTCTTCCGAGGCAGCAGAGAGAGAGGGCCATGGAGCCAGAAGCCACTTCTTGCAGTTCCTTAGCCCAGTGAAAGTTCTCTCTTCCCAGAACCTGAGTGGGGCAACTTTGGACCCATAGCTGTACTGTGGGGCTGGGAAGGAGGAAGAGCTCAACTCAGCATCTTTGGTGTCAGGTTTATTGCTAGAGGTCAAAGAATGTCCTCACCCCAGATCTTCAAGGCTTTTTTCCAGTGAGTCATCTTGTCTTTTCAAAATTATCTATCTAGAGGGTTTAATTTTTGCAGCCTGGGGAATTTATGTGGATCATAAAATCTTCAAGAGTTGGTTCTACTCACACTTGGGAGTCCGACGAGTGTGCTGAGATAAGTGCTTTGCCAGGCAGGAGCATACATGCAGAAAGGCCGCCCTCTGGTGGGACTGATGGAAATTGCAGTACCGGGGATTCTGGGAAAAGGGAGACACACTTTAAATCAGATTCCTGTTTTGTATTTGGAGAATGTGTGAAGGAATCCTGGCCCTCTTCTTCCTGTATAAAGAAGTTGATGTCTAAGGATACCTAGTTAACAAGAACTTAACTGAATTCATAGTCCTTCTGCATTTAGCTTTGTGTATGTGTGCAGTTCCCACAGACAAAATTCCTAAATCCTTTTGCTGCTTACATTTTTTAACTTACTGATTTTTAGAGAGAGAGAAAGAGAAAAACATCAGTTTGTTGTTACACTTATTGCTGCATTCATTGGTTGACTCTTGTATGTGCCCTGACTAGAGATTGAACGAGATTGAAACCACCAGCCTTAGTGTATTGGGAAGATGCTCTAATAGACCTACCTGGCCAGAGCTTACATGGTGATTTGCTTTAAAAAAAGACTTCAGTACTAAAAGTTCTGGACTCAATTCCAATGTATGTATAGAGGGAGGTTTTCCTATACCAAAAAGCCATGCTCTATCTACCCAAAGATGATATCAGATTCCACGGGTCGAGGGCTTATTCTTTTATTTATTTATTTCTAGAGAGGGGGAAGAAAGGGAGAAAGAAAGGGAGAGAAACATTGATGTGTGATCGGTTGCCTCTCATACATGCCCCCAAGTGGGGACATGGCGGACAACTCAGGCATGTGCCCTGACCAGGAATCGAATCAGCGACCTTTCAGTTTCTAGGTTGGTGCTCAATCTACTGAGCCACACCAGCCAGGGCAAGGGATTGTTCTGATAAGACTACCCCGCCGCTTCAGATGTCAGTCCAAGACCAGGTTGTTTGTTACCTATGCTTCTGACCAACTAGCTACAGATTGGGGGTTCCCATGACCTATGGCCTGGGTTCAATAAACTACTCATAGTTTATTATAAAAGGATATAACTCCAGAATAGCCAGAAGGAAGAGATGCACAGGTGAAGGCATGGGGAAAGGGCACAGAGCTTCTGTGCTCCCTCTGAGTGCACAACCCTCCTCTACCAGAACCTCCAAGTGTTCACCAACCCAGGAGCTCTCTGAACTTTCATTTTTTTAATAGAAGCTTCATTACATAATGTTGACATAAGAAACGTCCAAACCTGTAAGAATTTTTATAACTTTATTTGAGCCAAATTGACAACCATTGCTGGGAAACAAAATCTCAACAGATTGAGAAAATGCTCCAGACAATGGCAGTTTTGCACCTTTTTTTTACACATTGGAATCCAAGGAGGAGACATAAAGAGGGTTACCTGAAATTCATTGATGATAGTCTAGGGAGGTGGGAGAAAGCAAAGCAGGGGAATCTCTGAGACTGGATAAAAAGTAAAACAAAGAGACAAATTGGTGGGGACAGGATACTTAACAATTAACATTTACAGCAATAGAGATGGTATGTGGGAGAACAAGGTAACATTGGTCCTGTGGGGGAGGGTGCCCTGAGAGGTCTGGAAAAGGGGGATTACTCTGACATTCCAAAAGAATGTTATCACAGGTGCAAAAAAGCAATAGACAGGCTCAGTTAGGGCAAGGATTGACCTTTGTCAAGAAAGACACCAGCCTAGGACATGACTACTTGCCATGACTCACTTTTAGCTAAGAAGTTTTAATTTCAGATCATCCTATGTGATTACTTTAGATCGCTGAGTTTGAAAGGCCTGCGATGTGGGCCTCCCTGAACTTGTCAGGTTTAGTATGTGGCCCTTTTTGTCCACAATAGGCTCTGAGGAAAAGTGAAGAAATAAAATGAAGTCGCTATAGTCAAGCTGCTAAATTACTAAAATTAAGTAGTTTGAGGCGTGAGAAAATGATTCTATCCTTGTTTTCACTAGACTGGAAACTTAAACTTTGAACTTTTCAGTCCTTTGTCAATGCCTGGATGTACACCAAACCTCCAAATAACTCTCTGATTACTCCCCAGAAAGACTAAGAATAGATTGTTCACATGTGCAGACTACCTGACATCCATTATCCAGACCACTGGTCATCTAGAGGATTACTATTTTGAACCAATCCCGAGGTGTAGAACACCAGACTGATGCTTTTTAAGAATGTACTTTCAAAAAAATAGTTTATTGATTATGCTATTACAGTTGTCCCATTCCCCTCCTTTATTTCCCTCCACCCTACACTGCCCCATCCCCCAGCACTCTCCCCCACCTTAGTTCATGTCCATGGGTCGTGCATGTAAGTTCTTTGGCTTCTCCATTTCCTATAGTGTTCTTGACTTCCCCCTGCCTATTTGTACATACTATTTATGCTGCTTATTCCCTCTACCTTTTCCCCCATTCTTCCCCTCCCCCTCCTTTCTGTTTTACTGTTTATAGTTTTTGATCTTCTTCTTTTTCTTAGATAAGTCCCTTTAACATTTCATATAATAAGGGCTTGGTGATGATGAACTCCTTTAACTTGACCTTATCTGGGAAGCACTTTATCTGCCCTTCCATTCTAAATGATAGCTTTGCTGGATAGAGGAATCTTGAATGTAGGTCCTTGTCTTTCATGATTTTGAATATTTCTTGCCAGCCCCTTCTTGCCTGCAAGGTTTCTTTAGAGAAATCAGCTTATAGCCTTATGGGAACTCCGTTGTAGGTAACTGTCTCCTTTTCTCTTGCTGCTTTTAAGAGTCTCTCCTCATCTTTAACCTTGGGTAATGTAATGATGATGTGCCTTGGTGAGTGCTTCCTTGGGTCCAACTTCTCTGGGACTCTCTGAGCTGCCTGGGTCTCCCGGAAGTCTATTTCCTGGGCCAGATTGGGGAAGTTCTCCTCCATTATTTTTTCAAATAAGTTTCCAATTTCTTGCTCTTCCTCTTCCCCTTCTGGCACCCCCATGATTCGGATGTTGGAATGTTTAAAGTTGTCCCAGAGGTTCCAAAGCCTCTCCTCATTGTTTTGAATTCTTGTTTCTCCATTCTGTTCCGGCTGAATGTTTCTCTCTTCCTTTTGCTCCCAATCATTGATGTGAGTCCCGGTTTCTTTCCCTTTACTCTTGGTTCCCTGCATATTTTTCTTTATTTCACGTTGCATAGTCTTCGCTTTTTCCTCCATTTTGCAATCATACTCAACCAATTCAGTGAGCATTCAGAGTGCCAGTGTTTTGAACTGTGCATCTAATAGGTTGGCTATCTGTTCATCACTTAGTTCTGTTTTTGGACGTTGGTCTGTTCTTTCATTTGGACCATATTTCTTTATCTCAGTGCACCTGGTATGTTAGGTATTCGCCAGGGCGGGGCAACCTAGGTCGCTGAGTTGTGACGCTGTGTGTGGGGGAGGGGTCTGAGAGGGAACAATACCACTTGCTCGACTCTCCACTGGCTTTCAGTCACTTCCCCCACTACCCACAAGCAAATCTGGCCCTTCTGGTGCTGATTCCCGGGTGGATGGGTTTGTGTACACTCTAGGACCCTGTGGGTCTCTTCAAGGAACTCTCCTGTGAGGCTGGCAGGTTCTTCCACTGCCACAACCCCCACAGGTTTTCACCTCCAGAGGTTTTGAGGTTTTCTTTTCCCACACTGGACCCCTGGGTTGCACGGTCTGTCTCACTCCCTGGCTGTTACGGTTTATCCGCATGCAAATGTGGGACTGCCCAGTCCACCAGCTGCTGCTGCCTGTGAGGTTCTCCAGCTGCTGCCTTGCTGTGTGTCCTCCCCGCCCCAGCTGCCTGTCTCCATCCTTCCTACCGGTCTGGGCGAATGTTTCTTCTCTAACCTCTTGGTTGTCGGAATTCCATACAGTTCAATTTTCTGGCAGTTCTGGTTATTTTTTGTTTTAAAATTTGTTGCTGTCCTTCTTTTGGTTGTGCAAGGAGGCAAAGTGTATCTACTTACGCCTCCATTTGGGCCAGAAGTCAAGAATGTACTTTTTATAACAAATATTTTTTTAAAGATTTTTAATTTATTATATTTTTAGAGAGAGAGGAATGGAGGGATAAAGAAAGACAGAAAAACACTGATGTAAAAAAAAAAAGAAAAAGAAAAAATAAACACCGATGTGTGAGAGAAACATTGATCAGTTGCCTCTCTTGCGCTGGCCCACAACCCAAGCATGTGCCTTGACCAGAAATAGAACTGGTGACCTTTGGTTTTCAGGCCTGTGCTCATAAGAACTCTTAATCTTTCTTTCTTCTTCAGAACACTCTGGTTATTGCCTAGTTGTGTTTATGGTTTGTAAACCCTAAGACCCTTGAATAAATCATTAGCATTTATTTCTAACTTAAGCCTTCAGACTCTTTTTTAATTCACTTGAGAGCATAATTGATTAAATCATTGACCATTGGTGATTTATTCAATCTCCAGTCCCTCCTCTCCCCTCTCTGGAGGTTAGGGAGTTGGTTCTCCTGGCAAGAAGCCCCCATCCTTAGGTTTGGTCCAAAAGTCACTAATTAACATAATAGAAGACATCTTTCCAGCTCTCAATTACTTAGGAAATTCCAAGGTTTTTAGGAACTCTGTGTCTGGAACAGGGATGAAGACCAAATATATACAGGCATACCTTGGAGATATTACAGGTTTGGTTTTAGAACACTGCAATTAAGTGAGTATTGCAATAAAGTGAGTTATGGAATTTTTTTGGTTTCCTAGTACATATAAAAGTTATTTATACCATACCGTAGTCTATTAAGTGTGCAACAGCATTATGTCTAAAAAAAAGTACATACCTTAATTAAAAAATACTTTATTGCCAAAAAATGCTAATTATCTGAGCCTGTTGGAAAAAATGGCGCTGATAGATTTGCTTGATGCAAGGCTGCCACTGTTAGAAGCCAAAATTCAACCAAGTAAATTTAAAGATCAAATTGGCTTTATTAAAAAATTCATAAGTCAGGCAGTCAATCTCATGCAGTAAATAGAAAGAAGCACAAAAGAAATGTTGAAAAGGAATGGCCTTAAAGGCAAAAAGGGGATGGGACAAGGAAGTTATTTAGCAAAGAGTTCGTCATTGTAGGGAAGGTCATCCTCCTCTGGGGAGTCATGGCAGGGACCTATCAGGCAGATTATCTCACTAGTGCTGACCAGGAAATTCCAAACTGACTGGTTAAGATTACATTCCTGGGAGAGGCTGAAACTGCAGTTAGGTTAGGTATTAAGTCTTGGTTTGTTACTGTGAACTTAGCACAAGTGACTCCATTTGGGGCCTGATGTCTCTTTTTGTGTTTTCTGATTTTCTTTTTTAATGGATGGTTAAAGCAGTTGGTCAGAAAGACTGAGCAGGCCCGAGACTCTAGCAAGCCTTGCAGCCTAATGTCTCAGAATCATGCTGGAGGTTGGGAATCTTGGTTGTATGATAGTCCACTCCAGGAGCACTTGGTGGCCTCGTCCAGCTGCAGGGGTTGAGCCTGCCATTGGAACATATATCTGTCTCCAAATGACCCTTTCACGAGAGAGCTTATTGGTACTGCCTGCTCCCTAACTACAAGAACAGGTTGTATGACAGTTTTTTGCATCTTCTTGCTAATAAATATTACATGTCTGGCAGCATTTAGTAGAATGTTTGCTTACAGTATAATCTACCACCAGTTAGTGAGATTGTGGAAAAGAGGACACACAATCTCCCAAATTCATCAAAATAACCGATGATTGTTGACCAGCCAAACTGGCTTCAATCGGTTGGCATCATCCTGTGTGTCCCCCTCTTTCCATTCATCCATCCAGGCATTATTGAGCCCTACCATGTCCCTGCATGAGGGCTTATGCCTAGTTGCCTATCACACGGCAGTGGTAGGATGAGACAAGAGAGAGGCTGAAACATAAGTGTCCTTGAGCCTGAGGAGTTCCTATGTGTTGAGGAGGGAGAGCCATAGAACAGGGGAGTTGATAAGAGCTTGGAGTTGGGATAGGGTTTTTTCCACTTCTCCAGGTACCAGCGGGAGGAAGGAGTGGTCCTTTACCTTGTGAATCAGCGCTTTAGAAAAGCCAAAATGTGGGAGTGGATTGGAAACGCCCCCACACCTGTTCGCGTGAGGCAGGCTGGCTGCCCAGCGCGGAGAGAGAAGTGGAGGCGGCTCCGGGGCAAGGGTCCTGGATCGCGCACGGTGGAGTGGAGGAAGCGGGCAGCTGCCTGCTTGGTGGCTTTGTGCCCCGCCCACCTCGCTCCCGGGCCCGCCGTAGGGGGGCGCTGCGGCTGAGCGGCGGGGGGCGCTGCCTCCTCCGGGACGGCGGGGGGCGCTGCGGGCCGGGCAGAGGGGGCGGCCCGGGCCGGCTCGGCGAGCGGCGCGGCGGATGGAGAGTCTGGCCGCGGCCGGCGGCGCCGCCTCCTCGTCGGGCCGGGCACGGCGGGCCGGGGCCTTTGTGTGAGGCGGCGGCGGCGATGGTGCTCGGGCCCCGCGGAGCCGGGTAAGAGTGGCCGAACCCAGGGCTGTCCTTGGCCGAGGCCCGACCCCTGTCCCGGCCTTTCTCGCGCTCGCTGAGCTCCCTCCTGCCCGCTCCCCTCGGCCAGACCCAACCTCCCCGGCCGCGCGCCAACCCTGGCCGACCCCGCTGCCCATCCCTGGCCTCCGGGCCGGCCCTGCGCCCCCGCGTGCCCCCGCCTCCCGGAGTTCGCCGGTGGAAGCGCGGTTCTTTGGGGAGAGACCGAGGTGCTCGGTGCCACCCAGATGGAGTGCTCCAGCCCAATCCAACCCCCTTCCTCTCGGATTCGACCTCCAGAGGGAAGACTGCGGCGCCACGGGATTGTTGGGGTACCTTCTCGGAAGTTGCGAATCTGACCCCCTCCGGTCCCCAGGCAGGCTTCCCCTTTCTCCGACCTGTTGACCGTTGATGTGTGGCCACCCAGGAGCTGCTTGGCTGGCACCCAGACAATGCTCAGAAGCTTTCTGGGTCCCAGCAAAAGTTGGGAGTTAGTAGAATGTGTTGAGGTGAAGGAGACTGTGTTGCGCAGGACTAGAAGTGAGACAGAAGAATGCTACTGGCCTTCTTTCTCTTCCTTGGGCATTCAAGTTTCAAAAGGGAAAAAGTGATATTGAGCAGGCCTTTTAGGAGTCTTACCTATACAATGAGGTATCTTCTTATGGCAACAAGTATATCTCTTAGTCCTGGTCAACATAAGTATAAATCCCAGAAAGAGTGGTAAATAGAAATAAAGCATATTTAAGCAATATTAAGTACCACAGTTGTGTTCTACTTTGCTTTACTCCTTTGGGTTCTGAAGTATTTTTACTTCATCCACAGTTTGCAGAGAATGTGATAGAGTACTATCTCAGTGGCTCTGGGTTGTGGAGACAAGAGACTAGGTATGTGGTACAGGTAGGGAGAGATGGGAACCCAAGAATGAGCAAGAGATTTATTTAGGGACTGAAAGGACACAGAAATGCTAGAAAACTAAAAGGTGGAGGGAGCATCCTTGTCTTTTCCTCAGCAGCTAAAGGAACTTTGACAGCTGGTTCAAATAAGTATATGACATATGGCATGGTAAGGGAGGAAAATATACTCAGTGAGATAAGAGGAAATTCAGAAATTAACATGAGAAAGATTTGAGCCAGTTGCTCTGGAAATGAAGTATAAGATTGTGTCCGAGAGAACACCTCTGGCTTGGCTCTAAGGCACTAACTAGCTTCTGTCCAACCAGGCCTTCAGCCTCTCTTTTTGTACTGATTCTTAAGGACCAAGCAATTAGATTTTTTTCAGTGGTCTTGGCTTTTGTCACAACAATTTTTGGGCATATGCGGGGAGAGAGGTCATTGTTCCATCATTTTGCTGTCCTTGTTCTCAGCAGAATGGAGCAACTCTCCCTGTCCATTCACTCCACTCCCCACCTTGAGCTTTGAAACAGACTGGTGGTGGTTTCTCCTGCAGAGTGCCTTGCTTGCAGGGATGTGTTTGGCCATCCATCTTTTCCTTTTGCAGTCCACAGATTAACCGTGCTGATAAGGAGGCAACATCATAGGAGCTGCTAAGATGGGCATGAGGATCAAACTGCAAAGCACCAACCACCCCAACAACCTGCTGAAGGAACTCAACAAGTGCCGGCTCTCAGAGACCATGTGCGATGTCACCATTGTGGTGGGGAGTCGCTCCTTCCCGGCCCACAAAGCTGTGCTGGCCTGTGCAGCTGGCTACTTCCAGAACCTCTTCCTGAATACTGGGCTAGATGCTGCCAGGACCTATGTGGTGGACTTTATTACCCCTGCCAACTTTGAGAAGATTCTGAGCTTTGTCTACACATCAGAGCTCTTCACGGACCTGATCAATGTTGGGGTTATCTATGAGGTAGCTGAGCGTCTGGGTATGGAGGACCTCCTCCGGGCCTGTCACTCCACCTTTCCTGACCTGGAAAGCACAGCTGTGGCCAAGCCCCTGACCAGCACCAGTGAGAGCCACTCTGGTACGCTGAGTTGTAGCTCAGCAGAACCTGCCCATGCCCTCGGAGAACTCCGGGGCAGTGGGGAGCACTTTGGTCCTGATAGAAACTATGTCTTACCTAGTGATGCTGGAGGAAACTATAAAGAGGAAGAGAGAAATGTTACCAGTGACACTAACCATAACATGCCTCTGCCACAGCAGCCACTGCCGTCAAAAATGGAAGACCACGATAATCCTGCTCCTTTCACATCTGTACCTAATGTGACCCAGCCAGTCCTAGGCACTGTCAGCATGGGCATCCAAACCAGCACCAGCTCCTGCCAGCCATACAAACTTCAGAGCAATGGAGACTTCAGTAAAAACAGCTTCTTCCCCCCTGACAATGCAATAGACATTACCACTGGGACCAACTCCTGTCTGAGCAATAGCGATCACTCCAAAGATCCAGGCTTTGAGCAGATGGATGAGCTCCAGCTGGAGGACCTGGGGGATGATGACTTGCAGTTTGAAGACCCCACTGAGGAGATAGGGACAGCTGAAGAGGTGATTGAGTTGAGTGATGATAGTGAGGATGAGCTGACTTTTGGAGAGAATGATAACCGAGAGAATAAGGCCATGCCCTGCCAGGTGTGCAAGAAAGTTCTCGAGCCCAACATTCAGCTGATTCGACAGCATGCTCGGGACCACGTGGACCTGCTGACAGGCAACTGCAAGGTATGTGAGACCCACTTTCAGGACCGAAACTCCCGGGTGACCCATGTTCTGTCTCATATTGGTATTTTCCTCTTCTCCTGCGACATGTGTGAAACTAAGTTCTTTACCCAGTGGCAGCTGACCCTCCACCGACGGGATGGAATATTTGAGAATAACATCATTGTGCACCCCAATGATCCCTTGCCTGGGAAGCTGGGTTTGTTTTCAGGGGCTGCTTCCACAGAGCTGAAATGTGCTGCCTGCGGGAAGGCATTGGCCAAAGATTTCCACATGGTCCGGGGCCACATCCTTGACCATCTAAACTTGAAAGGCCAGGCCTGCAGCGTCTGTGACCAGCGCCACCTCAACCTCTGCAGCCTCATGTGGCACATGCTCTCTCATCTTGGCATTTCAGTCTTCTCCTGCTCTGTCTGTGCGAACAGCTTTGTGGACTGGCACCTCCTAGAGAAGCACATGGCTGTCCACCAAAGCCTAGAAGACACCCTCTTCCGCTGCCACTTGTGTAGCCAGAGCTTCAAGTCGGAGGCTGCCTATCGCTACCATGTCAGCCAGCACAAATGCAACAGTGGCCTTGACCCACGGCCTGGCTTTGGGCTACAGCACTCAGCTCTACAGAAGCGGAAGCTGCCAGCAGAGGAGTTCCTGAGTGAGGAGCTGGCTCTGCAGGGCCAACCTGGGAACAGTAAGTACAGCTGCAAGGTCTGTGGCAAAAGATTTGCCCACACGAGCGAATTTAACTACCACCGGCGGATCCACACGGGCGAGAAGCCGTACCAGTGTAAGGTGTGCCACAAGTTCTTCCGAGGCCGCTCAACCATCAAGTGCCACCTGAAGACACATTCAGGGGCCCTCATGTATCGCTGCACTGTCTGTGGCCACTATAGCTCCACCCTTAACCTCATGAGCAAGCATGTTGGCGTGCACAAAGGCAGCCTTCCGCCTGACTTCACCATTGAGCAGACCTTTATGTACATTATCCATTCCAAAGAGGCGGAAAAGAACCCGGACAGCTGACTGGGTCCCAGCAGAGCCAAGGAGAGCTCCCAGGTGGCAGCCAAGACATTAATTTTTTAATGGCTGTTGGTCCCACCCCAGTTGAAGTTGTAACTTTGCCTTGATAGAAATTCTGTTCTGTCTTGTGTTTAAAGAAGGAAAAAGAAGAAATAGCACATGTTTTTGAGAAGCAATGGCCCTATCATGTTTACCTCCTTACCTGTTCTTGCCCATGAAGGGCTGTGTTTTTGGTTCTTTTGAGGCTGGTCTTGGGATCTCATCAGGCAGTTGGTGTCAACTAGATCCCCTTCCCCAGCCTTTCGAGTTTTATGCTGCTAAGAATCCAACCAACAGCCTCACTGAATAGAGGAGGTGGAGAGAGGTTTTCATTGTGGGTGTAACTGCCAGACCTCCAGCTGAGACAACTGACTGTGAGAGAGATTTTTGGCAATGTGGACATTTAGAAGAGACCAGTCAGCAGGGCAGCTCACCCAAGGTTCCAGCCCCAGCCTTTAGCAGGGAAAAGGCATCAGGGATAGAGGTACCTGCTTGTTGCACGGCGCTAATCTGCTGGTTGGACAGTAAAATCTTTTGGAAGCTAGATCCAAACTGGGGACTAAGCTTTCTATTTAGACCAGAAAGCTTTGGGATGAATCCTTGCCAGCCAGAAGAGGTCCTTCAGTGCCACCAGAAGTGGCAGCCTGGATGGACAGGAAGGGAGGCTTCTCCTCTCAATTCCAAAGAAACATGATTTTATGGAGTGAAGGCCCAGGACGTCAGGCCTTCCCTGTGGGGCAAAGAGGACAGGGAGCCATTTGACATAGTCAGTCATCTGTTACCTGGCCACCTCCATCAACCTTGAATTTTCTGATGGAGAGGTGGGGATATCTCTGACAGCAGCAGCCTTGCCTTAATTTACATTCTGTCTCCCACCTACATGTGTGTTTGACCTGTAGTGTAGATGAGGAGACCCCATGAGGTGGATTGATGGACTGGGAGCCCTTCAGGATTAAAGGCCGAGTAACTGGTGGTGCGTAGTGGGATGCCTCTCTGTCGCAGTTGGGTAACCCGTTGTTTACTTTGTGCAGCTGGACAGGAGCTTTGGCCGCTGACTTTTGACCTGCTGGAATTTATCCTGATCTGTCTTTGCATTGCCACCAGGGGGCACTATTTGTTGGCCCCTAGTTCAGGCCCTCCCTAGGTGTCTGGGAAACATTTCTGCCCAGCCCAAGCTGTTTTGTTCTTAGTTGACTTTTGAGGGAGTCTTGCCCAAAGAAGGTTTGAGTAAGAGGGTCCTTGTTCTCGCATGCTCATCGGCTCACCTCAGTAACTCATACTACCTCACTGCTCAGGCGAGCTCTGGGAGTCCCTGGCCTGGGCCCTGACACTGCCCCTAGAGGGACTCAGCAGCACCCTGGGCTGTTTCACAAGCAAGTGGTTTTAATTAACTCACAAAGCCTTTTTTTTGACATTAATATTTATTTATTTTTATTTTCATATACATATTACCCAGCATCTCTTTTTGGATAAGAGACTTCAGGAAAATGAGTTTCTCTCCAGCAAGGAGCCACATTCCAGGGGATGATCCTGGCCAGAGATTCAGGAAATAGGCTAGCACTGGGAGAGAACATGTCAAGCCTTTACATAAGCAAATTCTTTTCTTTCTCTCCAGATAGGCTCTTCCAGAATAAACCCAGAGAACCTTTTGGGCAGTGGACATTAAGTTCTAGGGAGTTGGGGCTTGTTAAATTCCTAGGCCTTTCATCCTCCTTCCATTCTGTGATAAGAGTAGATTGGGGACTGGGCTGAGGAGATCGAGTCACATGAAGGACCTTTTTGCACATTTTCTCATCACTCCTAAACTCAGAAAGCTGTATTAAGACATAGGCAAACAAAGCTCCATCTTTGGTGGACCTGCTGCCTCTCTCCCCAGCCCTAAACTTAAAAAGCTTCTGAGTTGGAGTGCATGGCTCTCTGGTGGGGTGACCATTACATGAAGGGACTTGTACAAGTGGCACCTTTCGCCATCTAAACCCAACTTGGTAAATCTTCCCTTGGGCATACTTGTCAGGAAAGCAGTGCTGAGACTTTTCATCCCTGGCTGGCTTCTCTTTCCCACACTGACCATTAGAAACTTAAGAAGGAAAATATATGAAAGAGGACTGTAAAGTGCTAAGCTTTTCCAGCCTGAATGATCCCTGCCAAACTGTTGGTAAGGACTGATTTTTTTAGTGACCAGATTTGAGAGAGGTGGTACTGGACCCCAATCAGGTATCTGAGAATGGGTTAAGATGCTGAAGAAACGCTTTCCCTTAATGGAAGGCATCATGGATGCTGGGTAGTTTGTGTATTTAACCTGAAACTGTGAAGTATTCCCTTTTTGCCAGTAAACCAAAAAGCAAATCCTTAAAACTTTGCCCTGAAACACTAAACAAGAAAAACTGCACCCCCTGGTCGTCCTGAGGCCAAGGGATTGATAAGGGTGGTCCAGTTGGTTGCAGTCAGACCTGTAGCAGGGTCAGTAGCTAGCGAGGCGCATTGACCAAACCCTGTTCCTCCACGTGTCTCCTGTACTCACACCTGAACCTTCCCTCTGTTTGGAATTATGTTTGCTGCCTCTGCCTCTAGCTCACCCTTTTCTGAACTGTTTTACTTGAAACACTATATTGTGGCAAAGGGCACTCAAGGATACGTAGTAGGAGGTATTCATTTTATTTTGAGTTTTTAATTTTTTCAATGTCTGTTCATTTGATTTGTGGTGCCCTCTGCCCTGGAACCCAGTTTAGCACTGTCTCCTGCTGTACTGTTCCAAGATTCTGTTTGACCCTTGAATGTCTTGTCTTCGCCCTTTTCCTCCTTTTTCTTTTCTGTACTCTGGACTGGCTACCTAATTGGCAGAGTCCCTTGTTTAAAAATTATTGAGAATTTCAAGATGGCAGTTGTAGAACATTAAACCAAGCATGAGGCTGTTCTCAACCTGCCTCATAAGGGAAGAGGGTGACACTTGAACAGCACACTGGGATAAAGAGCAGAGCCTGCTTGTGCCCAGAGAAGGGGATCGCTGTCCCAGCTCTTCTGTGACCACTGATGGCTCACTGGTGCCACAGCTCCTGCTGGGAAGCCCTGCTGTACCCTCATTTATTCCTAAATTTTAGGACTCCATGGAGTCTACAGTTCAAGGTTAGTTGGGAAGAAAGGAGGTGGGGGTGGGGCTCTGGCCCAGGTGACCTCTAAGAGCCAGAAAATGGGTAAAAGTTCTTTTTGACTTCTCTGCTGACCTGTCATCACCCTTTTGTCTCCAGGACAAGCCTTTGGGCTTAAATACCTCCTCCCCAGTCGGGTTTTGCTACTGATGATTTTTCTTTGTCTTCTGGCCTCCTGCTGTGACCTATTTTCCCAGGCTATGCAACTGTGGAAGTGAATTTAAATCCCTTTATAGATGGACACTAATGTTATTGGCATGGGAGTAGGCTATGTGGAGAAGCCTGTGCCCAGCTGGGGGTCGCTACACGTCCTTTTTCCTAAGTCCTGCACTGAATGAGTCAGGAAGTAGGGCACACAGCGTTCATTTCACTGTGGTTGCTCATCGCAAACTTAACATCAGGATGAAAATGAAGCTGTTTGGGTTTCAATGTTTCTTTAACACCCTTTCCTTGTCGAGTCCACCCTCCCCTCTGACCTCTACTAGCTAAAGTCTCTTATGAAATGGAGAAGAGTTGTTGATGTCTAACTCCTTCCATTAAATTAATAAGTACTGACCTCCTAATATTTAAGTGTTTACTATCTATTGCTGTAAAGTTTTGTATATTTTGTAAACTTTTTTCCCAAATAGTAGATGTCTAAAATCGTTGTACATCTGATTCTTTTATATTCCATTGTTCAGCACAAAGTGTGTTTTTTATTTAGAATAAAAAAAGGAAATTGGAAGTGGGAGTTCTTTTCCTTTTTCCCACGATCGTACTCATCCCTTGAGCGCAGTGTCTGGGCCTGCACCCGCTCAGTAGCAGTGCTCTGCTCAGCAGAATTCTTTTAGGTAGCAGATTTTCCTTTCCTGTAGCTGGAATTCCCCAGGGTTAACTTGATGTCCTGTTTTTAGAGGGAAATTAAGTAAATGATCCTACCTTTTTGGGGGGAACATGTCTGAGGGGATTTTCTGTTGGCTCAGAGAGCCAAGTAGAACTCTGCTAATGTCTTGTTGGACTTGAGATTTGACCACAAATTGTCTTGCCAGTGCCATTTAATTCACTGTGACATGGCATGTTGGAGTGGAGAGAGGCAATCAAACAGAGGCAGAGGTTTGGCATAATTTCCTGAGGTTGATAACAAATAAACCTCCACAGAAAAGGAGACAAACCTCTTGAAGTTAAGGTGCGATGTGGTCCATTTGGTCTCAGAGTACATTGCCTGGGCCGGCACCCTGTCACGACTCAGAAGAGGCTGAGCTGAGCAGCCTTGCTGCAGTCAGCACAGCCGGTTCCCTTTCCTCCCAAAGCCCTGAGGAAGTGTGAGCACAGGGTCATAACTGATGGCCGGAATGAAATCCGTGAGAAGAGCACAATCTTGGGAAAGTGGACTCTGAGGTGACCTGGGATGTGACAGATGTAAGACTGAGTTTCCTTTAGGAAACTCTGGAGCACGAGTTGGGAGGCAATGATACGGGCATCAGATATTGGCTTGGGTTTTGCATGAGCGTAGGCAAGGAAAGTCTTTTCAATGTATTTTCTGCGTTGTGAAGTCCTTACTGCAGCCCCAGGTTGGACTCTCCTGGTTGAAAAGCCTTCAGCTCTATGCCACTGAGCAGCTGTTGTAGCTTAAGACCCTTTGAGGTTGGGCCCCCTATATAGGGGGGTTGTAGATAAAGATTATCCCCCATGCTTCTGACAAATGGGTACGTTTACCACCGGAGCACATGTCTAATGCATCTGGTGAGTACAGTTTCAGATTTCTAAAAGCAGAGGAGACAGCACTCCAGGTCAATGAGTTATTCCAAGTTAAACATTCCAGGCCCACTGAGTGCTGAGCAGGACAGAGGTTCTCAGTGGTTATGTCCACAAGCCCTTCCGTCTCCACAGGCAGGACTAAGAGGCCAAGGACTTGAACCTATTCTTAGGCTGTTATTTCAGACAGAATTCATGGTCATGGTCCCAGTGTCTCAACCTGATAAATGAACCTTTCCAGAAGACCTTGTTAACAAGAGAACAACTTTTCCTATCTATAGGACAAGTATTACTAGAAATAAGTTTCTGGACAGGTAAATTGTGCAAGAGATTAGGCCAAGGAGAAAGAAGTGTAAGGGTGAGAACTGACAGAAGAATACTAGAACTCTGTCCTGTGACAGAAGTGGAAAATTCCCACTTCCCTGCCCTGTGCAGGGAACAAAGGCTGAGGGACAGAGCATCTGTCAGTGCTTGCTGCTGGCTGTCCCACGGTCTGTTCCCAGAATAGGTGTCCCTTGATACTGTGCTATCATGATCTGGAGAGAAAGGGAGAGGGGTGGGGTGGATTTCTAATAGCATCTCATCTAGATCCGAAATGTCCTAGATCCAAAGCTGGGAGGAGATGGGCTGAGGAGCTGTGACACTGGGGCGCTTCTGCTGGGGCTGGGAGGGGAGCTGGACAAGGCGCGGGGGTGGGGGGGGGGGTATCGGCAAGGAAATGGAGAGTTTCCTGGATGGTGGAAGGGGGTGGAGAACCATCCTGGCAACCCAGCTGCTGGGTGTCTGCTCAGACCTGGGCTTCACCCCGCCCTTGCTTCCCCACCCCCTCCATTTATCACAGCACTGAGGATGCGCTGCTAGGAAACGTCCTGCTGAGACCTCCTGGTTCCTTGGCCTCTGGCCTCTTGTCCCCACAGCCTGCATGGTGTGCTGGCAGATAAACAAGCACACAAACACAAAAGGAAAGTTTTGTGAGGTTCCTGCAGAGCTCACTTTCTGGCCAGGGTAATTTCTGCAACGAGTGTAGTTTCCGCTGAGCATCTCTTTAGCCTTAGCTGTTTCCCCGATCACAGCTGCAAGCGCAGATTTTTCAGAGATACAGAGTCATGGCTGTCTCTATTATTTTATTTCACCTTTTTCCCCTGTGCGTTGGCCATAGACACAAGGACTGAGACAAATAGTACAACACCAAGGACCTGTTCTTCATCTCCCCCTGCCCTCTCTCTCTCCCCACTTCAAGATATAAGATGAATTCAGAATTGACCATGAGTGCTTTGACCCTTTCCCCTGCTCCCCCAGAATCTCTCACCTACAGTTCCAGCTTTCCACTTCACAGAGGGAGGAGACTGAACTCTACCTCAGCTGCCTATAAGAGATTAAGGAGTGGAGTTGGGTAAAGTATTTGGTGCCTGGAAGTTCAGGCTGGGATGGCGGTGGGGGCCTGCTGCAGTGGTCTGGGCGCCCTCCTTGGTGATGATGATGGAATGCTGTGTGGAAGAGGAGGAAGAGGAAGCACGTCTGCCTGCCCTGGCCTGGGCCTTGGGAAGGTAATGGACCACGGCGCTCAGCAGCCGGCCCCTGAAGCTCGGGCTGAGAAAGTTGTAAAGGATGGGGTTGATGACACAGTGGAGCATGGAGAAGCAGTCGATGACATCATAGAAGAAGTAGAGCAGGTTAGCCAGGTAGCAGTGGAGGGAGATGTGGATCTCATGCAGTGTGAGCAGCAGCAGGGACACATGGTAGGGAAGCCAGCAGACGGCAAAGACTGCAATGTAGGCACACACGAGCAGACAGTGGCGCCGGCTCTCGGGCCTCCCCGTCCGCCGCAGCTGGCAGACTGTCAGCACGTTGAAGACTGCGATGAGAGCAAAAGGCAGCAGGAAGCCCAGGATGGTGGTAGACAGGGTCATCACCAGGGCCCATTTGCTGAAGATCTCCAGAGGGGCCACGAAGAGACACACGGGCTCAGGGGTCTCCAGAAGCTGGATGTGGACCACTTCGGGCAGTGGAAGGATGGCCGAGAGCACCCAGACGCCTGCGCACACAGCCCGCCGCACTCGGTGCTGGTGGCGCTGCCAGAAGGGAGAGGCACGGGTAAGGGTGACGTAGCGGTCAATGCTGAGGCACACCAGGAAGAAGATGCTGCTGTACAAGTTGACAAAGTAGAAGTAGTGGGTGAAGCGGCAGGAAAAGCCACCCCAGAGCCAGGTGTAGTCCAGTGCGACTTCCAGCATCCACACGGGCAGAGACAGGATGATGCCCAGGTCCGCTATGGCCATGTTGAGGATATAGAGGTTCAGCAGCCCCACCCGGCCTGAGTAGCGCCAGTTGACGCAGATCACCAGGAGGTTCTCCACCAGCCCGACCACGAAGATGGCCAGGTAGAGGACAAAGAGGGCCACCCGCTTGGTGTTCTCACTGAGCTCCATGTGGCACTCGGAAAAAGTGTGGTTCAAGAAGTAGAGCAGTTCAGTCCAGTTGTGGATCTCTCCAATGTCATAGACAAACCCAGCAGTGACCTCCTTTGAAGGGCCGGACTCCATGCTGGCTGTGACTGATGTCAGGACCAGCAAATGCCTGGTGGGGAGAAGAGGAGGTTGGAAGAGAAAGGAGACTTCGGTCACAGCTTTGTGTCCCCCAGGTAGCAGGTCCCTGGGACCAGGAGGCTTTGGGGAAAGATTCTAGGTATGAAGAGGCAAGAAAGGGAAGATAAGGACTCACACTCTGAACAAATAGTACACAACTCACTTGTCAGCTTTGACCCGAGAGCAGAGATACTTTGTTAAGTGGCCTCAGTGGTGGGAGAGACCAGAATTGTTTGGGCCCAACCAGACTTGCACCCCGCCTGGCCCGGCGCACCCTCCTCCAGCCTCAGGTGCACTGGCTCAAACCTCCACTTTTCTCCTGGCACTTCACACCTTGGCCCTTTCACACTGGCCTTTCTCAGGAGGCTCTTGCTCTGTCTTACCATTTGGTCTGTGGGAGTGGGACACGCACACACCAACATGTGCAACGTGCACACAGCCCTCTAATTCGGCCCTGGGAATATCAGGATCATGGAGGAAAAGCAGTTGCCTCCAAGCCCTTCTTCCGTGAGAGAGAGTGACACTCACCTGAGTTTCCCTAGGGAGCACCTCCAGGCCTGGAGGGCCGGGGGTCCGGACTGTTGCAGAGCTGCGAGGAGGCTAGAAGGAGTGTAGCCTTGGGGCTGGCTTTGCTTTAGGCTTCAGGGCCGCCCTTCTCATCCTGGAAGCCGTATCACTGGCTGAGGCTCTGTGGGAGAGGGTCAGGATTTTTCCTGCCTCCTCCCAATCCAGTTAGAGGGGAAGTCCAGCAAAAGACCAGCACACTGGGTCAGGGAGGAGTCAGGCTGCAAGCATTAATATCCAGGCTCCTCCCTCACTAGATGTGGGAATTTACCTCCTACAGCCTGGGTTCTCTCTTCTGCAAAGTGGGACAATAGTAGCTACTATTAGGTGTGTGGTGTGAGAATTAAATGAGCCATCACGGTGAAGTGTTTAGCACAGGACTGGGCCTATGTTCAATGCTTCACACATGCATGTGTTTTCCACTCTTTAAATCAGCTTGGAATCCCACTCTTCCATGTTTGTCTTCATTTCTACTAAAGCAGAACTGGACAGAGGTGGGAGGGCTAAAAACATCTGAAAATCAGCCAGACTTTTAATCGCTTTGGCCCTTCCCCCTGCCATGCTCCCAGCCTTCACTTGGAGCTCTGAGTTGAGAATCTGGAGAGAAAAGAAAGACTGGATATGGGGTGGGGAAGGGGCAGTGTTGAGCTTCAGGGAGACTCCGAGATGGAGAGGGGAACAGCATTCTTTGCCCCACAGCTCCATACGTCCAGTGAAGTCTGTGCATGGGGGAGGGAGTGGGGGCAGAGGAGAGAGAGATTGATTGAAAGTCACTCAGCTTCTCCCTCCCTCTAGCCCACAGGGTAACTCATGGCATGGACTGTTTTGTTGAAGAACATCTTGTGTCAGCAGAGCTTCCTGCATCTCAGGGCACTTTTACCTCAGTTTACCATTTGATCCTTGAGGTACCCTTTGGGGAGCAAGGATGGGCTTCCTTATCCTCTGTGAGGCCCAGGAAGGTTGCCTGTCTCACACAAGCCACACTGCGCAGATGGTAGAGCCACGTAGAGTTGGGCCCGTGTTTTGTAGGATGTAGAGCAAGGATGTGTTGGCTGGAGGGGATTTGGTACACATATATTTAATCAAGGTGAAATTCTCATAACAGCATTAACCATTTTAAAGTATACAATTCAGTGGCATTTAGGACACTCATATTGTTGTGCAACAACCCCCTTTACCTAGTTCCAAGTATTTTCATCACCCCAAAAGAAAACCCCATACCCATTAAGCACTCACTCCCTATTCCCCTAGTCCCTGGCAGTGCCCATTCTGCTTTCTGTCTCTGTAGCTTTATCTATCACGGATATTTAATATGAATGGAATCATGCAATGTGTGACCTTTGTGTCTGGTTTTTTCCACTTAGCGTAATATTTTTGAGGTTCATCCACATTATAGCATGTATCAGTATTGCATTTCTTTTTATGACTGAGTAATAGTCCATTGCATGGATATGGCACATTTTGTTTATCCATTCAGGGAGGGGATTTTTTTAAGTTTGCTAATTAATTTTTTATTAATTTTATTAAACATAACATCAAATTTGCCATTTTAACTACTTTAAATATGCAGTTCAGTAGCATTAAGTACTTTCACTTTGTTGTGCAATCATCACCACCAGTCATCTCTGTGGGAAGGGGTATTTTTAATTTGGCAATTTTCTTAAAGCCTCCTTCCGAAAAACTCTTTCTCTGCTCACAACACTTTGCCACTAAATGTGTAGGGCTTCTCCCACATACCAACCAATTTTCCAAATCTCCGGAACCAACTGGGTATTTTATAATTTAATTCAGTTCCGACACCAACCACCTGATGTTAGTGTCAGACTCCACGGGTTTAAGGTCTCAGTCTCACAAGTTTGTCCTCACTTCAGGTGCCAGTTGCAAGCAACTGATCCTCAGAGTACCCACACTTCTGTCCAATATGGCTACAAAGTCAGAGGTTCTAGCAAAATTCCCCTCAGCTTCAATAATTTGGTGGAATGGTTCAGAAATCTCAGGGAAACATTTACTTACATTTAGTGCTTTATTTTAAAGGATACAGATGAAGAGCCAGACAAAGAGGTAGGGACCCAGGGCGAGGTCGGGAAAGGTCATGAGCTTCTATGTGTGGGACTGCACCACACTCCTGGCATATGGATGTGTTCACTAACCCAGAAGATCTCTGAACCTCACAGTTTAGGTATTTCTATGAAGCCTTCATCACATAGTCATATTAGTTATTAATTTAATCTCCAGCCCACTCTCTCTCTATAGGTTGGGGAGGGAGGCTGAAAGTTCAAAGCTTCTAATCAAGGTTTGCCCTTTTTGGTGACCAGCCTCCAAAGCTACCCAGGAACCCACCAAAAGCCACCTCATTAGAAGAAGAGATGCTCCTATTACCCAGGAACGGGGGGAGGAGATCAAGAAATCTGTCATCATGAGCTACGATGACATAAAATGTGATTTACTTTGATTTTTCAGACAGTTCTATTCTCTCTCCTTCTCTTTAGGATCTCAGTTTCTAGCCTATGGATATCTTTTTTCCAGCAAGGAGCCTTATGAGATGTTTTGTTTCTTTCGTTCTCCATGCCTTTGACTCATACAAATGGAGACTCCACTAGACCAAGCCCCTTGGTTCTGGCCTCTGTTCTCTCCACACAGACCCATGGCCACTTCCATCCCTCTCAAGCCTGCATTTTAGTGGCTCATGTCTCCTGTGTCTCTGAATTTTTCACCCCAGGACCTTTTCTCTCCCAGATTGCAACATCACCCCCTGCAGTCTCACCTCCTCCTGCTCCCCAGCCCCCACCCTTCACATCCCCCAATGTGTACGTGCAGCCAGAAGAGGTGATGGCAGAGGCTCAGCTGGAAAGCTTCCTCAGGAAGCAATAAGTGATAGCTCGGCAGTTTTCGTGTGGGGGTTTATCTTTGGAGGGAGGAGGTGGGCAGCTGGAAAGAGAGAGACTGGAAGGAAGGGAAAGAGGGAGGGGCAGGAGCTCAGGCAAAAGGATTGGGGGCAAACAGCTTTGCAAGCAACAGGAGCTGCAACAGTGAAACAATTACTGGAAATTTACTCTTTCTTCTTCCTCCTCCTGCCCTCCCCCTTTTGTTTTTCAACAAATGTATGCAAGACATTGTAATCAACAATCAGAAAGGAAGGAAGGTACAGAGAGGAGTTATTGGAAGTCACAGATAAAGACAGGCAGCTTCCCAGGGTTGTTTGGGCGCCAAGGACTTGTGCCTAGACCCTGGAGGAAGGGGCAGAACAGACTGTCCCAGGAATCCCCCACCCGCCGCCCTCCACACACACTTTGTGGCATTTGTGGTCCAGGATCCTACTTGGTGTGGCAAGGGCAGCTGGATTATGAAGAGGTCAAGGCTGAAGTGTTCGGCAACAGTTGCGCTCTCATCCCTAGCCTGAGCTTCCAGAAGGTCACTGAGCTCAGAAGCCAAGTTGAGCCACAGAAGTTGCTTTGCCCTCTGACCGGGGCTTCCCCCTGCCAGCGAAGCATCCTTGTCTGCCCAGCAGCACCAGATAAAGGGCAAGAAGGATGTGGCCCAGCGACCCTCTCCTTCACTTGGCTCAGCAACTTCCTCCTCACACATGTGTCCCTCAGATGCAGTGGAGGGACCACTAGTTTGGGGATTAGACTTGGCTCTGACACCTTTGTTCCACCACTTAGTAGCTGTGTGACTTCGGGCAAGTTACTATGTTACGGAAAGCCAGACTCAAGACACGATTCAGGGAACGGAGTAAGCCTTTATTCACACGCGCGGGCTCAGAGGAGGCAGTCTCCAAATTCTGAGCCCCGAATCGGGGTTAGATAGGGGTTTATAAGCCCTAGCATTCCGGCGGGAAACGGATGGGCTTCCCAGGTGGGGGAAGGGATTAGCATTCAGGTGGGAGATTGATGAGATTGATGTGAAAACGGGCTACAGGAACAGATAAGCAATGATTAACAGTTAACCTGGGAGGGGTCTCTGGCTAGGCTGCTCCTCTTAAGTCATCTTGCCCTTATCAACTATACCTTTCTGAGTCTCAGCCTCTTTATATAAAAAGTGAAGATAATGATGTATGGGATACAGCAGATAAAATACCAATATGTAAAATGCTTGGCATTAATATGGCCCTTTTCTACTTTTGGGGGGTGAGAAAGAAGAGATCCTTCTTGTGGCATTGCTCTTCAGATATCTCTCCTGCTTCCCAACACCTGTGAGGAGGAAAGATGGGCTTCCTTATCTTCTGTGAGGCCCAGAGAATCAACACCAGCTTCCTCTTTCACTTAGTTGTCTGGCATTGTATTTCTTACATAGGAGATGAAAAATATCCCCAAATGCCGCTATGAATTACCACAGAAGAGATGTAACAGCAGCTAACATGAATGCTCACCATCTGCCAGGTACAATTGCTTTTCACGTATCGCTTCATTTAATCTTCATAATAACTTAATGAGGTGGGTACTGTGGTAGGCAAGGAAACTGAAGCACAGAGAAGTTAGACAGTTTGCCTGAGTCACACTGCTAGTAGTTCAGTAAACCCTTATTATGGTGATATTCGACCTGGATTTCTGGCATGTAATGGCTTCAGGTGGTTTGTGAACTCCCTGAAAAGTATATGAGGGTCTGTCCAGAAAGTATCCAGCCATGTAATATGAAAAATAGAAACATTTATTGACAAAGATACAAGAAACATTGTACATAGGACAAATATTCCTCAGTCCCCTTCAAAGTAGGCATCTTGGGACCTCACACAGTTCTCCCAGTCGCCATCAGCAGCCTCGTCATATTTTCCTGAATCTCATTGACGGTCTGAAATCTCTTCCCTTTCAAAGGTGATTTTAGTTTTGGGAAAAGCCAGAAGTCACAGGGCACCAAATCTGGGCTGTAGGGGGGCTGAGTCACCTGGATGATTTGATGTTTTGCCAAAAAACTCTGCAGGAAATGCATGTATGAGCAGGCACATTGTTGTGATGAAGCTGCCAATAACCAGTTGCCCACAGCTGCGACCTTCTGAACCATCCAAATAGCTTCCTCAGGGAATGTTCAAGCTTAAAGCAAAATGTGATGTGGATTCGTTGCTCTACTTGTTCAGTCACTTTGAATGCGATGGCCACACAGTACACATGCTCACTCAATGGTATCTACCATCCCCACTGACTAGTGCAGTGAAGCTGTCATATTAACTCATGCACATTCTAGTCCACTCTCCTTGGCTGCCAGGAATTGATGTCGCACAAACCATTCTCATTATGCTAACAATGGTTGGACTTTTCCCGAACAGACCTCATATACAAAATCCTGTCTAAGTCATTTTTATGGGGCTTAAATCTTCCCTTAGATTTTCAAAGGGGTCCATGGTGTCTAAAAAGTTAAAAATGATTGCCCTACAAGAACTTCTTGTAGACAGGGGCGAGGATAAAAAAAGTGGGACAAGGCATACACTTCTGGGGAGGTGACTCGGCCCTGGGAATTCTGGGAAATTTCTTGAGTGCAGGGAAAGTCCTCTTCATGAAGGCTGAGAGAAGCATGGGATGATGTGGGAAGGGGTTTGAGAAAGTGATGGTAAATTGTCTTTGCTTGCTAGCCCTCATCCTGTTCACAGGATGAAGGACAGCTGTACCCTTCTCTACGATTTCCCCAAGAGTGTGTGTGTCTGTGTGTGTAGGGGACATGCGACATTAGGCTTAGGACGAGGATACTTGGTGAGACTGATACAGACCAGAAGGGCACTAGGTACTCCTTCCCCAGGACAGCTGACGGCCTCCCAGCTGCCTCAGCTCCCCACCCTGCTCCTTCAGTTTCCCATCCCGACTGTTTCTCAGGTTCCGCCCACCTTCTGATCCCCAGCACCCGGCCCCGTGGTCTCTGCAGATGTGCTGACAGCCCCTTGCTGATTCCAGATTTATTCAATTTCGACTAACTTTTGTTGAGCACCTAATGTGTGCGGGACAGAAATTCCCCTTGAATTCTCCAGTGCTTCCTAAGGCCCTGAGTCCCAAAGGTTTTTACCATTTGGATGACACCATCTGGTTTCTTAGACCTCCTGGGAGTTGGAGTTGAGAGCACTCACTGAAGCCATCTTGATTTACCCCCCTCATTATAAACATGAGGGAAATGGAGGCTTTTGGGAATCTCATATTGTCAGACAATGTAAGAAATACATGTGAAAATGCAGAATGAAGCAGGATATTGCAGTGCCATCTACTTCATCATTCATGTGTCTCTGTTACATGCTAGGCACTGCCAGGTGCTGGAAACGTAAACATGGTGAAACAGCCCCTTCCCTCAGAGGCTCCGGTCAGTGTTCTGGTTTCTGCGCACTCTGGCAGAGTTCCTGTTGCTCCATTAAAATGGAACCACTGCTTCAGGCTTAACCCGGAGCATCTGGATTTCTGTCATTTCTCTTCCCCCAAAACAATGATCATTGAGCCATTCTGTAATGCTCAGAGAAAGGTGTTCAAGAGGTTTGGGACCTCCAGAAATCCTCTCCAGAAGGTCAGGGAGCCATGGATGGGTTAGGTCTCCGATCTGAGATTGTACTTTCGGAAGGACAGAGACCACTGATGCTCTACTGTCTGGCTCCACCACGGCTACAACTGAAGGGCCTTGCTGGAGGGAGAACTGCATCGGCAAAGAGGTCCCGTGTAACCCAACCTCAAAGCCCCTGCGAGCCTCCGCCAGCCTCGCCAGCCTCCCAGGGCTCTTTTCCTGAGGAGGGGGTCTGGTCATTTCCGGGCACGTGAGCAGGGCCCAGGCTCAATTGGGTCAATGCCATAGGGGCGCCACGAAGAAGCTGCCTCACCCCCAGCTTCGTTCCATCCCTTTCTAGGAAATGGTTTCCGCCAACTCAGTCTGAAGGCCCGCAGGGACGGCCGTTTTGGGTTCCAGTCTCCAGTCCTTCCTTTAGTCTCCTGAGGGGGCAGCTCCCTTCCCCTCCCCGTTCCCGTAACCACCCTGATACAGCCTGAAATGAGACACTCGCAGTTACTGGGGTACACAGCCCTCCCTGATAGTGAAGTTAAGGACCCATCCTTGACTTCGTTTCAAGTTGGTCATTTCTGCCCTCAGAGCCCGTGTCTGGGTCTGGACTCTGCCTGCATGGCTGGCAGGGAAGAGCCACAGCACATGGTGGGCGGAGGCCATGCAACCAGGCACCAGGGCTGGGGGCAAGAATCTTCACGCAGTGGGAGGGTAACAATGGTTAGACCCATTTTTCATAGGTCCTTCCTTTCTTCCAACCCTCCCAGGCACCAGGAGAAACTTCACTGAGTGAGTCCCCCCCAGTCCCTTCTCCCTTCCTCATCTTCAAGCTCAGACACCGCCATTTTCTGCCACTGAGTGTTACTATGTCAGGAGGGGAACTTTATACTCTTTTCCTTCTTCTAACTCTGGAAACTGACAAAACTTATTTTTCTCAAGAATGAATTCTGAGCTGAGCCATATGAAGAGACTCAGAGGCTATGCCAGTGGCCAAGATCACAACGGCTGGAGCAGAGCTGGGTTTTGAACCCATGTGTGTCTCGATTCATAATGTGTCCTCTTTGTGAGAATCTCTAGCAGGTCATGGAGACAAGGGTTCCAGAGTTGAGCAGGCAAAAGTAAGAAGACAGTTCTGCACCATGAGATCATGAACATAGAGGTCTCCAATTTAGGGAAGGTAGATGCGGGGAGAGGTGGGTGGAGGCAAAGAGGGAGGAGTAGGAGGACCAGGAGAAGGTGGTTGAGAAAATTATCCTCAGGTGAAGGGGTTGTCTATTAAAAATGATGTGAGGTTACCAAAGATCAAGGAGTTGGGGCCAGAGTCAATAATACCAAAAACAGTGAACAGGAAAAACCTGACTCCATGCTGGAAGCCTGGGTTTGGTGACTTATACCCTGTGTCCTTAGGCCCTCCTGACTGAACACTGGCCACATTCTTATTTCACTCTTGCCTGCCTGCCTGTCTCCTGCAAAGCCATGTGGCTGTACCTGGGGGCCCTTGTGGGCCTGTACTACCTTCTGCGCTGGTACCGGGAGAGGCAGGTGGTGAGTCATCTCCAAGACAAGTATGTCTTCATCACGGGCTGTGACTCAGGCTTCGGGAACCTGCTGGCCAGGCAGCTGGACCTGCGAGGCTTAAGGGTGCTGGCTGCATGTCTGACAGAGAAGGGGGCAGAGCAGCTGAGGGGCCAGACATCAGACAGGCTGGAGACAGTGACCCTGGACGTCACCAAGACAGAGAGCATCGTTGCGGTCACCCGGTGGGTGACAGAGCGTGTTGGAGACAGAGGTACCACACAGATTTCTCAAGTCTGTTTCTTCTCTCTCGGTGAAGGGAAGACTGCTTGTCTGCGACCTGGGAAAGTTTCCCAGTGTGATTTCTGGGGTTTGAGTGATACTAGCTTTCTTCACCTCGACCAGCTTACCAGCCAAGTCTTTTCCTCTTTCCACGGCCCCCTGTATCTCCCAACCTTGGAGCTCTGCACTTTGGGGGAGAGTTTGAGCTGATGAGAATTTGTCCTGGAAGAATCCTGTCTATGGTGTCTTCTCCTCTCTCAGCAGAGGTTCTGGATTTCTAGATACTGAGTGCCTTGGGGAGATAAAGCCCACTTTCTGGGGGAGGGGTGGAGAAGAGGGCACTAGTTTGAGGCTTAAAGGGGTGGCCGGGGGACAGCACTGGAGCCGGGCCCCTGTTCTCAGCGCATTAGTATCTTCATGCCAGTGACTCCTAATGGTCTGACCAGCGAACTGTCAGGACTTACCGAAGAAAGGTCAGGAAATTGGTGTGGGGTCACTTCCTCTCTCTCTCTTTCCTAAACTGCAGTTGTGCCTGTCTCGTTATGGGGAGGAAAAGAACATCATTTTCCTTTATCTGAGTATGAATGTAAAACATGATCAATGTGGAAAATACAGAAAAGTACAGGGATTAATAAAACCCTCACCTCAAATCTCACTACCTAAAAATAAGTACCGTTAACATTCTAACACAGATAACAGTCTGTGTCTCTCTCTTTCCCTCATAGACAGACATTGAACACTCACTAAGGAAACTCCCTAGAAATCTCAAAATGTGGGTGAACATTTTAACGCCTGCAAGGACAGCACCTATACGTGAAACCCACACACGACTCTCTGTGACGCACACCGTGGACTCCCTAGATTTCCCAAGCATCAGTCCGGCCTCACCAATCTCCTCTATGAGGCAGGGGGCTGGACACAAGGACTAAATTAGGAGAAAGGCACACTCTCTGTCACCAACAGCTTACAGGGTGGGCACTGCCCTCAGCCCTGCTGGCGGCACGTGGCCATCTGTTCCACCCACTCCCCTGGCTGCCTCCGCACCCTGTCTTCACTGGCTTGGAAGGTGAGTTGGAACCACAGCTGCGTCCTCACAGCATGGTCTCAGCATAGTGTTGCTCTCTCTGCTCTGTGTGCCCAGGACTCTGGGGCCTGGTGAATAACACTGGCATCTCCACGCCCCTGGCACCCAATGGATGGCTGACCAAACAGGTCTTTGTGAAGATTCTCAATGTGAACCTATTGGGGGTGATCGAAGTGACCCTGGGTCTGCTGCCCCTGGTGAGGAAGGCGAGAGGCCGTGTGGTCAATGTCTCCAGCATCTGCGGTCGTGTCGCCTTGACTGGCGGGGGCTACTGCATCTCTAAGTACGGCGTCGAGGCCTTCTCGGACTCCCTCAGGTACCGGACTGGGACAGAGTCTCCCCCTCAGTCCTCCTGCTTCTGTGCTGCCGGGGAGCCTTGTCCAGGGGTTTGTCGATTTCACACAGCCTCAGAGCCTCTACCTTCCACATCCTCCTGTCTTGCTTTGTGCCAGACATTCATTGATAAGCACCTACTTATCTTCTGGGGGTCAGGATGGGCCCCAGGGCAGTAGAGTTTGATTCAAGCTGTCCGCGCCAGGGTCAGAGGGCACCTGGGGCAGACTTGGAACCGGTGTTAATTCAGCTGTGCAGCCCCTTCCTGTACATAATTGCTATGATACTTGGGTGCCGGGAGCTCCGTTGGCAGTGAAGCCTCAGGGAGGCACTTTATTCAGGGAGCTTCTCCGTCACATCAGCTGGAGAGACTGCACTGGCTGCAGGGCTGAGGATGGCTATGATGTGGGGGAGCTGAGGCCACAGGCAGACAGATGCTCCCAGAGGACAGAGGGCCTGGAGGTTGACCTGGGTGGGGGAGAAGAGGGAGGGGATTTAGGAGAATGGGAACAATAAAATGGGCACAGCCTGGTGATCCATTGGGTATGACAGGGATATGAGGAGATAACAATGAAAAAGTGGTGCCTTTCGCACAATTGGTAGGAATTAGAGCTATAAACACATGTATTTCAAATATTTGTAAAAACACTCAAAATGTATAGAAAGGCAATACCATCATCATAGGTTTTCTCCCCCTGGTTGCTGCACTTCACAGCTCCCCAGACTTCTGAGCTTAATCTGCTGCAATCCTATATTGATGGTTTAATGGTTGTTTTTTTTTCCTGGATGTTTTGTGTATGTGTGTTTATGTGTTTTTATAAGTCCCTGAAGTCCTTGTCCCTCTGCCTGTGTGCCTTGCAGGAGGGAGCTCTCCCAGTTCGGGGTGAAAGTGGCAATTATCGAGCCTGGTTTCTTCAAGACCTTTGTATCCAGTTCTGAGATGATTTCCAGGAGCTTCCAGGAGTCATGGGACCAGGCCAGCCCAGAGGTCAAGAAGGCCTATGGGGAGAAGTTCCTCGCAGCCAGTGAGTGAGCTGTGAGGGTCACGGGGGTAGCAGCGAACCACTTTCTGGAAACCTGGTTTATAATCTGTACCGCCTACAGTCTCAGGTCCAGCCTTTGTGCCCTGACTCTCCCACAAACAGGGGACCTTTAGTTCCATCTCCATAGTCCCATGTGGTCAACTGGCAACCTCAGGAAGGGATCCAGGCTTGTTAGACCTGGCCCCAGTGTCTTATGTGAACTTCTCATTGTGTTGAGGAGGAAATGAAAGCCAGAGAGAAAAGATACCCATAAACTCCCTAGCTAGTGCTAGAGCAGCTGGCTTTTAGGTACTTAGATATTTAGTGTGTGTAGATACCTTCAGATTATGTGTTCCAGATAGTCCCAGGAATAAAGCCAAAGGTGGCTTAGTGTGAAATAGGTGTACCTGGGGTAGGAGTGAGACACTCTCTAAGGAATTTGGGTGGATTTAGTGTAGAGGGCCAGGAATTCTGGAAACTCATTCTATAAATTGATCTTAATGTGGGAGTGGTTGGAGGTGGGAATACATCTGGATTCTTTCTCTTTCTGGACAGGCCTGAAAACAATGGCATCGTTGGACAGAATGTGCACAAAGGATCTGTCCCTGGTGACGGACTGCATGGAACATGCCCTGACTGCCTGCCATCCCCGCACCCGATACTCAGCTGGCTGGGAGGCCAAGCTCATCTACCTTCCCATGAGCTACATGCCAACCTTCCTGGCAGATGCCATGTTCAGCTGGAACAAGCTGAGGCCAACCAGGGCCCAGTGACCCCAGGCTGTGGCGCATAATCAGGCAGAGTTGGGTACTGTGCAAGGGAAGGGATGCGTCTGTGGAGAGAAGCATGGTGCATTTTGTTCCCATTCTCAGTAATGTTATTAAGTAAAATTAAATAATTAAATCAAAGAATATGCATTTCTTTAAGGCCAGGGAAGTTTTCTGGGCAGAGCAGGGACTAACATTGCAGGACCTTGTTCTTTTCCTAATCTCCCCAAGGTTAAACTCGGCTGCCCCCACCTCCCTTACCATCTTCAACTGGCTGACCACCCTGCCCCTGCTGACCCTTGCTGTGTCTTTTCCCTCTGTCTCTTCCAGAGAGGTTTCCTGAAAGCTGAGTGGGCTGGGGATGTAGTGGGAGGTGTCAAGGATGGCCTTTGGGGAGGGTGAAAGGAGACACTGAGACTTCCTGGAGCCAGGGGTGCCGTCTACACCAGGGTGTGGCATGAGGTCTCTGCACCTCTCCCCAAAGCCTGCCCTGGGCATTCACTCCAGGGTGAAATTGGGGATTTCGCATCAGAGAAGGTGAACTTGGCTTCCTGAGCAGATAGCGCCTTAGGATTAATGCAGGTTTTTTCAAAGCTAGTGTCTTGATGTTCAATGCAAGCTTGTCTCTATTTACCCTAATCCTGGGTTATCAAGTGTGTCCTTCCCAAACAAGATGTGGAAAGCAATTATTCACAGTTTTCTTTTCCTCATTTCTTTTTTTCCTGTTTCTTTTATTTTTTCTAGTTTTCCCTTTATTTCTGCCTCTTACTCAGTACTCTCTACCTACCTATGTCTCTGTGCTACAAGACACTGTTGAATATTACTCTGTTATCTCAAACTCTGTACATGCACTTAACAAAGATGGATTTATTGCCTATTGCATGCCAGGCACTGAAGAGTGGAAAAATGAGAAGGAGCATCCTTGCCATCCAGTGGCTCGATGTGTTTGCAAGCCCTGACACCCTGTAACCACCACATTCCCATTTCTTCTCCTGCACATCTTCCCTTATACCATGTACCACACTGTTGTTGACTCAATAAAAGAAACTTAATTGTAATGTAAATTGAACCACACATGTGTCCTCACTATAGGGTCACAGCACAATGTTGCTCTCCTACCCCCGCTGTGCCCAGGACTCTGGGCCCTGATGAATAACGTTGGCATCTCCATGCCCACGGCACTGTATGATTGGCTCACCAAACAGGACTTCATTAAGATGCTCAGTGTAAACCTGTTTGGGGTGATCACGGTGACCCTGAGTCTGCTGCCCCTGGTGAGGAAAGCAAGGGCCAAGAGGTCAACATCTCCAGTGTCCTGGTTTGTGTGTCCATGTATGGTGGTGGCTGCTGTGTCTGCAAGTACAGCATCAAGGCCGTCTCGAACTCCCTCAGGTAATGGACTGGGACAGAGGCCCCCCTTGGTCCTCCCGCTCCTGTGCTTTCGGTGGGGGCTTTTCCAGGGATTTCATGTTGCACAACATCAGAGATCCTTCCTTCCAGACTCCTCTGCCTTGCTTTGTGCCAGGCATTCATTAGGAAGTACATTTTTATCTTTGGGGGATTGAAATGGGTCTCAGGTTTATAAAATTTGATTCAACCCCTTCATGCCCTGGAGGGAGGCCCACAGTTGTGAAGTGAGTGAGGCAGAATTGGAATCCAGATAACTTGGCTGCAGAGCCTGTGTCCTTAACCCCTATGTTATTTAGTTTTTGGGAGCCCTTCAGCTGAGGATAGAGTATTCGACTCAATTCTACAGATCTTTTGGGTACTTCTGTGAGTGCACAATTAATGTCTGAGGTTAACAAGTTTTGTTCCTTGAGCTATAAACTCTGACTGCTGAGAAAGGGACAAGAGATACAGAAATGGTATGGCCACTGCTTGTGATGATTGTGACCGTGTTAGCCATGGTGGCCGTGGTAGCCAGTGGAATGAGGGAGGATTTAGGGAGGGGTCTGAGCTGAGGGTTGAAGAACTGAACTTGTGAACCTGGCAACCTGACCAGGTGGGGTGGGAAGGCTTCCTGAGTGTGGGGAGTAAGCATGAGTCATGACTGACTGCTTATGACGCGTGGCCCTCCAGGGATAAACACCTCGGCCTGGCCTGGCGGGAAGGTGCTGGGAAAGTGGGCACGGTGGGCTCAGGAAGCGGGGTGAGCCCTGGACAGGCTGCGAACTTTTGTGCTGTCGGAGGCAGCACGACATCATGGAAAAGATTAAATCGGGGGAGCCGCTTTGTCACATCAGCCTCCGGCCCCACTGGCGAGAGGGTAGAGGATGGCTCTGAGTGTGGGGGCCTGAGACAGCAGGCAGGGAGATGCTCCTTAGAGGACAGATTGCCAGGGAGTTGACTAGAGCAGCAGAGGGGAGGGAGGTGACTGAAGAGTCTGGAGGAGGTAAAAAGGGAAAACTGGAGATTGATAGAATGTAAGGGGAAATAGGAGGAGATAGCATTTAACTGGTGCTTTGCAGCAGAATAGGTAGGATTTAGAGCTAATAAGTCTAATTAGCTCTAGCTTTACATGCATGTAAAATATATAGATAACTATTTTAACTCTACAGAAACTATTTCATCTGCGGAATTTTTCTCCCCCCGTTGCTGTACTTCACAACTCCCCAAGCTTTAAAACTTATCTTACCCCAATCTGCTTTGGGATTGTATTCTGTTTCTTTGTTTCCCAAGACCTCCGGAGTCCTTGTCCCTCTGCCTGTGTGCCCTACGGGAGGGAGCTCTCCCACTTTGGGGCGAAGGCAGCTATCACGAAACCCCATTGCTTCGATGCCAACATGAGCAGTCCTGAGATGTTCTCTTAGGGCTCCGAGGAGCCAGCCCCGAGGTCGAGGAGATCTATGGGGAGAAGTTTCTAGTTCAGTGAGTGAGCTTTGGACCATGAGGAGAGAAGTGAACCGTTTTCTGGAAGCGCAGGTTCATCATTAGAACCGCCTACCGTCCTAGGGTCACTCTTCTGGCCAACTCACCCACACAGTGCAGACTTTGGCTTCATACCCGTGCTTTCCGTGTGGTCAACTAGTAACCTAAAGAAAGAGTTTAGGTTTGTTAGGCTGGGAGACTGCTGGGCCATGTAAAGCCTTTATTATGCTGAGGAAGAAACCGAAGCCAGAGAGGGAGTTTTTTGAAATTTTCTTTCCAAATTAGAGCCATGAAATGGAAAGGAGGGATGGGGAAGTATGTGAGGATCCTTTCTCATTCTGAAAGACGTCAATGAAAATAAATAAAAACCTTTTGAAAAAACGCAAGTTGAATTTAGCCTTGGTGATGAACTGCATGGAGTGTACCTGAGCGCACCTGAGAAGCCAAGCTCACCTACTTCCCCATTAGCTATGTGCCCACCTTCCTGATGGGTGCTGTGGTCAACTGGAGCTCCCCAAGTTCTGCCAAGGCCCTGTGAAGCCAAGACTGAGTTGCATGGAAGGTCTAATTGCGGTGCTATATGAGGGTTGACGCTTTATGGGGAGGAAAGTAAGATGGAAGGAGTGAGCTGTCCAGTCTCTAGGGTCACGTAGTTTACCCGCCTCCTTACCTCTGCCCCAGGCTTCTCCCAGCACTCTGAGGCTATTAGGAGGGAAGAACCTGGTTTTGAAGTTGAGGAACAGGGACCCAGTAGCACATAATGTATGCTCTGTTGTCTGAGCAGCTTCTCAAAGCCCTGAGCCTCATGGGCCCGAATCCACTTTTGGGAAAGAGTAAACACTGGGAGGGGGCTCAGCCCCATCTTCTCTGCCTCTGTTTACATCCTCGGAGTGTGCCTTGGCCCTGGCCAGTCTCCCCCTCCCAAAAGATGGAAATGGCCTGCGGGAGGTGAAGTCTCCTCTCCACTGGAGATACCTGTGGATAGAGGGAGAGGTGTGCAGGGCAATGACCAGACTGACCCATCAGCCTCAGGTGCCGACTCGGAAGGTTGGCCTGTCAGCTGAGACTGGGTGGCATTCCCAACAGTAGGAAAAGAGCCTTCTGTGTGGTCCTGCAGCACTCCAGGCCTCCAGTCCATGGCCTGAGTTTTGCGATGTCAGGAGTTTGAGCCCAGGGGAACACTGCTTTAGCCAGTAGTCAACAGAGAGGCCCATAAGATGATGAGCGAGGCCCAGGCCTGTGTTGGGGCAGTCCCAAGTCATCCTTTTCAAGCTTCAGAGGCAGCCCCTGGGTCTCACTTGTCTTCTCAAAAACTGGGTTACTCCTGAGTTTGCTCAGCCCTCAAATGAAATTATCTGACATCTCCCAGCCAACACTTCCCTGTCCACTCACCCAGGAGGCAGAGTGGGGAAATACCCCCTAGATCCAGTGTAAGAGGCGTTGTGCCTTGGAATGGTTATGAAGTAGATAAGGTCTGCTTCTGTCACTTCCCATACACGCTTTGGGTTTGTTCCCCAAAGGTGGGTCCATGATCTGACCCCCCCAAACCTTGGTATAGAGCAGCCAAGCTCTATGTCCTTTTCCAAGAGACACCAGCTTTAACTGAGTCGGGAGCTGACCAACCTTGGTAGACAGTGGAGCACAGAGATGCATTTTTGTCCCTTCACTCTAGCGACCTTTGCGTCAGACCTTCTAGCCATGGAAAGTATGGGCAGTTGGCCCTGTGTCCATGGGGATGAGCTGGTGCCCAGGTTCATCCTGAGGAATGGTGGTCCTAGGAGTTTATCCAAAGAACCACTGTAGACTCTAGCATCTTTCTGTGCCTGCATCTTACTCAGTCCTGGGTGTGGGCCCTCATGACTCACATCCTTACTTCCTTGTCTTGACCAGCTTCCCTCCTACTTCTCTGTGAGTTCTTTGCTCCATTGCCTGGAATCTCTCCCTCCCTTCCAAGTCCCGACCCTGAGAACTTTCCAAGCATCTGCCTGGCCCCAGTCTTCTGCTCCTCTCATATGTCATTTCCTCTCAGTGCCAAGGACTCAGCCCTAGCCCTTTCTGCAGCTGCCCAGAGATCTCATGACCCATCCTCATGACCTGATCTCATTGATATTCATATCAGAACTCTCTCTTCTCTGGCCTTCCCTCCCTGTGTCCAAAGTGTCCCGCCTCCTATTACTCTTGCTGCCTGCAGTTTTACCTGCTATCAGCCCCAAACCTTAGAATCACTTTGATTCCTGGCCACCCTTCTCTCTGCACATCCAACTAACCACTGTGTCAGTTGACTGCATAGTCACTCCCTCCCACCATTACCACCCCACCCCCAGACCCCTCAGATCACCAGGTCACCTCCTGTGTGTCTAACCCTGGGGGTAGGAAAAAGAAAGCCTAGAAAATGCCCACTGGGGGCCCTGTCCCAAGGCTGCTGATGTGTCCTCAGTCTTTGGCTTCCTCCATTTGCCTGGTCACTGGGGGAGGCTGGGAGCCGGGCCTGCCTGGAGTGCAATCAGGGCACCTCATTGGCGATCTGAGTATCGCCTCCCAAGGACCCCACCCTGAGGCCCTTGGTCTTTCCGCTTTCTGGGCATTGGAGCCTCCCATCACCAGCCTCCTTTATAGGAGGACCCTGCTGCCTCTGGCCTCAGGACCGTGAAGACATAGCTTCCCTGAGAGGAACTCTTTTTCGTCATCTCTAATAATGGACACACACCTAAGGGCAGAGAATTCCAGAGAGCTAATAACCTGGAACTCATTTTTCTTGGGGTTTGGAAGGCACAAACTGATTTTCTTTGTTTTACATTAATGAATTGATCTTATTTTTTTTTCTTCTAAAAATAAAAATTAAGTTTATTTACATGCCTGACTCATGACAAATGATTTTGGTCCCTGGACCAGGGGTGGGGGATTCCCAGGGGAGCTTTCTAGGCCGAGTTCGTTCTCACTTATCCTGCTCAGACCGCCCAGGTGAGCCACCTCTCAGCACCGACATCACCACTGGGGTCCGTCCCTTCCCTGGTACCTTCACCTGCCAGGGCTGGGGAGAGAGAAGGGCAGCCACCAGGGTTGCCTGAGGTGGCAAGGCTTCAGGTTAGACTTGAATTTCTTGCATCTGGGCTAATTGGTGTGGTGATGCATCCATCCACCTATAAAAATTATAGAGTGGCTCACTCAGGGGCCCTGCGTGTTTTGTCAGTAGTGGGAGGGAGGACAGCTCTTCTCAGCAGCCTCCAGCGCACTGCAAGCTGGGGGTCAGAGGACCAGCCTCTCCCACTGTCTCCTGAGCCCGATCCTTCTTGGCCATCACCTCCTCCCTGCCCTATGGCAGCTCTCACAGACCTCTCTTTTATGTACCGCTGGTTCAAGAACTGCAATCTCGTCCGCAACCTCTCAGACAAGTATGTCTTCATCACAGGCTGTGACTCGGGCTTCGGGAACCTACTGGCCAAGCAGTTGGATGATCGAGGCATGCGAGTGCTGGCTGCTTGTTTCACTGAGGAGGGGGCCCAGAAGCTTCAGCAAGATACCTCCAACCGGCTGCAGACCACCCTGTTGGATGTCACCAAGAGTGAGAGCATCCAGAAGGCGGCCCAGTGGGTGAGGGACCAAGTGGGCGAGCAAGGTGGGGTGAATTGCGTTCTTTAGCTTTCTCAGCTTATTCTTCTTTCTTTCTCTCCTACCAGCATCTGACAGTCATCAGGGACCCTGTGGTTCAGAAGGGGTGGGAGAAGAAATGTAGAGAGAGGGGCTGAGACTCTGGCCCAGTGGGACTGGAAGCCCTTGCATGGTTTGGTCTATCCACAGGAAGGGCTGATTTCTCAAGGAAGTCTTCTCTCCCAGATACTCAGAGGGACGGAGGGAGGTTGCCATAGGACGTAGGGGAGAGAAGCTGTGCTCTGTACATCCAGACCTCTAACAATGGAGTTGCTTCTCTCGGACTTTGGTGGTCCTGACCTTCGGCTCTTGTCAGGACAAGCTGGGGGAACGCAAGACGGCAGCATGAGGTGGGACTCCATGAGTGGAGGCATTTGCTTTCCTTGACTGCGTCAGGCTAGAAGGCTGAGGCCAAAGAGATCTGTCCTTTCCTCACATCATGGTGGATATTAGGGTGAACTCAGAGTAAGTGCTGACATCGGAATGGATGCTCCTATTGGGAAAGGAGGCTGTGGGCTGGGGCTGGACCAGAACTACGTAGGCACCTGCCTGGGGAGCTTCCTGCATGAAGGGCATGGACACAGGAACAGGGGGAACAGGGTGGCTCTGTTGCAGGAGCGGCAGCCTAGGGGAAGTCCTAGCTCCTAAGGGAACTGGTCTGGGTCCATGCACACAGGACGGGGCAAGAGAGCCCTGGAGGGACCAGGCAATAACTCTCTGCTTTATTTTTCTCCTTAGCACTAATCACTACCCACGATTTAATATTATTTATTATCTATTTTCCCTGCTAAAATAAAGCTTGGGGGAAGGGGCGGGACTTTTTGTCTCTTATTTACTACATATCCTTAGTATTTAGAACAGTGTCTGGCCTCTAGTAAGGTGCCAAATATTTGTTGGGTGAACTAAGTAATGAATAATTCAGCAAGAGTGAGTCTCTTTTTTCAGCAGGCTGCCTCACCCAGCGCCCTAGATTTAGTCCTGAGCCACTTGTGTTAATGATTCACTGGGTATATTAGTTTCTTATTGATGCTGCCCTAAATTAATACAAACTCAGTGGCTCAAAACAACACACATTTATTATCTTATAGTTCTGAGGAGTAGAAGTCCAAAATGGGTCTCACTGGGCTGAAATCAAGTTGTCAACAGAGCTGTGTTCCTTTGTGGAGGCTCCCGGGGAGAATCCATTCCATTGCCTTTTCAAGCTCCTAGAGGCTGCCTGCATTCCTTGGCTCATGACCCTCTTTTACCTTCAAGGCCAGTGAGGTCAGGCCAAGTCCTTTTCACACTGCCATTTCTCTGCCTCCCTCTTCCACTTAGAAGGACCCTTGTGATTGCATTGAGCTCACCTGGTTAATCCAGGATGCTCTCCCCATTTTAAGGAGAGTTAATTAGCAATTTGAATTTCATCTGCTACCTTAGTTCCTCTTTCCCACATAATCCACCATATTCACAGGTTCCAGGGATTAGTATGGGCACATCTTCTGGGGGCCATTATCCTGCCTACTCCATTAGGCAACATCGTTGGCCTAAGAAGCATTGAGAAATGGGAGAAGGGGGTTCCGGCCTACTCTCTTATCGTCCCTGAGAGTCTTTGGACATGATAGGTTGACCCCAAAGCTGTTCTCACTACTCTGACAGTTCTCTAGTTGCTCTTCGCAGGAGAAAAAAAAATTAAAATTGTCCTGATTCCCCAGGAGGCAAAGTTGTTTACCTGGGATGATCAGAAGTAGTGGCGAGTGTGTTTTTAACCCACAAGCAGAGATCACTGGGATTTTGTAGTCTTTGGGTTTCAGAAGCCTCATCCCCTTCTCTGTAAGACAAGAGAGTCCCCTCTGTCTGAGAAGGTTCTGAGTCCTGCCAGCCAGGTGGTCTCCTGGGGTCTCTCTACTTGGAGGAAACAGGACGATAGGGCGAAGGCGTGGATTTTGTGTGCACCACAGCCCCAGGGGAAGGGGTGGCCCAGGTGTAGTGTTTACACCCAGACCTGCCCTCAGGAAAGAGTGGAAAGTGTGCCCAGAGGAGCACTTAAGGCTGCAGAGGCCAAGGTGGGAGAGGCATGGGGGAGGGAAAGGGAAGGAGCCAGGGCAGCGGGGCTCGTGGAATCCCTGAATGAAAGACCTGGAAGGCCTCTTTGGAGATCACTGAGAAGCTTTTCCAACCTGTTTTTAGCATCAAATACCCTCCTCCAAGTAGAGTTTTACTTGGAAGCTCAACATGTAAAGCAAATGAAAGTTGAGCTTCTCTTGCATCTCTCTCCCTGGGCAGGTTCTGAGGTTCAGCCTGGGAGGCTCTCAGGACTGCAAACCAGAGGCTGGAAACAACTGTTCTAGTCCAGTCAACATAGAATCTGCAGCCCAGAGAGAGAAAGTGATTTGTCCAAGGCTGGAGGTAGAACCAGGACTAGAACTTGAATGCTCCAAGCCTGGTTCCCTGCAGAACTGAATGACAATACTTAGCATTTTTTCTCTCCATATATACCAATTCAATTTAATTATCTCAGACAGCTCTTTTCACACTTTCCATAATTATTTAAATGCTTCGTATTTATTTATAAATGTTATTTATTTCCATTCTGGTTTGTGAGCTCCTTGAGTGATAAGACCCTGTCTTGTTCACTTTATGTCTCTGGCACCTTCCTTTGAAACCAGCAGAACACGGGGCTCATGAATGAATAAATGAATGTGTGAATGGATGAATGAATGAAGTAACTTTAATAATGTGTGTAATAAAATTGGTCTCTTATACTTAGGAGAATACAGAGGGGAAAGCATAATGGGGGAAGGAATTCAAACATTTATTCATTGGTATGAAAATGAAATCTCTTTTCCCAGAGCTAATAGCTTAAATGTCATTAGCTAAAGCCTGGATTCTTAGCTGGTATAGGGCCCAGGTAGCTGGTAGATTGTATAAATCACAAAAAAGAAAACTAATTGGTAAAAAGCACATCTTCCTTCAGGCTGTAATAGCTTCCTGCCCAGGCCCCAGCTTTGTGCACCTGTTCAACCAACCTCAACAGCCCTGAGCAGTGGGTAGGAGACCTTGGTGATTTCTGTGTTTCTCTCTGTCTTCCCCACAGGTCTATGGGCCTTGGTGAACAATGCTGGTGTGGGCCTGCCCAGTGGTCCCAATGAATGGCTGACTATACAGGACTTTGTGAAGGTGATCAATGTGAACCTGGTGGGACTGATCGAAGTGACCCTCCACATGCTACCCATGGTCAAGAAAGCCCGGGGCCGGGTCGTCAACATGTCCAGCTGTGGTGGTCTTGTGGCTGTCATTGGTGGTGGCTACTGTGTCTCCAAGTTTGGTGTCGAGGCCTTCTCTGACAGCATCAGGTGATTGAGCTTTGGTGCCAAACCGCTCTGGGTGGGAGTCCTGGCGCTTTGCCTCTGGAAGAAAGGGCTGGGGGCAGGGAGAACAACAGCATGAGGGCAAAAAAATAAAACCGTAGTAAAAAGCAGGCTAGCCCTCAGGGGGCCTTCCCCAAGGACCAAGAGAAGAAAGGATGAGGAAAAGAGGTGGGGTGGTGATAGGAGACCATCTCCCTGCTTTCCCTTGAGCTGTTCCAGAATAAGTGAACCCCTATTTGGGCCTGTGGGAATAGGAGGGACTGTCTCCCAAATGGACAGAGAGGCCGGGGGACAGATGTGCTCATGGGAGACCCTCCAAGGAGGACGCCAGCCTTGTGTTGACCTCTGATTCCCTTTGCCATCAGAATGCTGGGTGTGGGGCTGAGTGGGAGGGACCTGGTGGGAGGTAAGGCTCTAGTCTAGATTCTCTGTCAACTTCCTTCCTCTGGATTTGCCTAAAGTCAACTGCCTAGAGAGCAGCCTTGGGAAAGGGCTGAGGTCCAACAACAGGGTTTACTTCCATGCAGACTGGCCTGGTGCAGGGGTAGAGACGGCACTGCCAGTTTCCTGAGGAGATCAGCACCTATACAGGCATCAGAAGTGACTCTCCCCGACGAGCCTTTGTCACCTTGGAGTCCCAGACTGAATACAACTCTTCTTTCCCAGGCGTGAGCTCTACTACTTTGGGGTGAAAGTCAGCATCATTGAGCCGGGGAACTATCGGACATCCATTCTGGGCAAGGACAGCATGGAGACGCGCATGAAGAAGCTGTGGGAGCAGCTGCCACAGGAGACCCGGGATAGCTACGGAGAGGAGTACTTCCGTATCTGTGAGTTTTCCTCACAGGGGGAGGGGTCTTTGACAGGTACAGGGAGATCTTGGTGGTCACTGACATACTTCCGTTTTACGGATGTTGGGATGGAGGCTCAGAAGAGTTAAAGGGCTCGAGGCCACACAGCTGGTGGCAGATCTGAGATTTGAGAACAGAGACCAAGTGGACAACTGCTGGGAGTGACAGAACTAGAGCTGCCAGGGAGATGGGGGAGCGAGGGAAGGTGCTATCCAGGGATGCTGCCCATTCCTGGCACCTACTCTCCCCCATGTCATTATGCTGGTGAAGCAAGTGAAAATGCACTGACATCGATACAGAGAAGTTGCTAAGAGCACAGCTGCTTGAGGCAGACTGCCTGGGTTTGAATCCTGGCTCTACCACTTAACAGGTAGGGAACTTTGGGCACGTTACCTGGTCGTGCTATGCCTCAGTTCTCTCATCTATAAAATGGAGCTAATGATAGTGTCTACACACAGGACTGCGATGAGAATTAATACCTGAGAAATGTCTTGCACACACTGAGTACTTGTTAAATTAATGAAGAGGACAGGAGCACAGGAGTATTTTAAAGGAAGGCTCTCTAGGCAATCCTCTTTTTCTCCAAGCTAGGGGTCTCCTATGAACCTCTGACATTTGAGGAGAGTTGAGAAGGGTCATTACAGCTGTTTACCATACCACCCCAAAACTTTGTGCAGTTCTTCCAGTTTGATGGATAAGTGGAACCCTGGCCATTGAGGCTCAAGTGGAGGGGGTGGCCTGTGGGTGCAGTGGAGGAGGAACTGAAAGACCGGTTAGAGCACCTCGTGGTAGGAGAGAAAAGGCCACTCTGAGGACCAGAAGTTCCCATGTTCGCTCGGATCATCTAATTTCAAAGCAGAGGTTTGATTTCAGGAGAGGACGGTCCAGAAGACTTCCTAGTTCTCTCCATTTCTCTGGCTCCCCGCACCTCAGAGCCATCTCTGCAGCTGCCTTTGTGGTGGGGGGAGGGCAGCCTCTGATCTGTCAATAGAAATTGGTTCTGGTGCAGTCTATTGGCACCTCCTTGGCAGGCAGCTCACTTCTCCAGCTGCTTCTCTGTGACCTGGCTGCTAGTTAAGAAGGTAGAGCTGGTACTTTGTGGTTCTCTTCAGGAAGTTCTCTTGGGCCAGAGTGAAGCAGCCAGGCAGGTTCGCAGCCTCTTTGGACCTTAACGGTCTAGTTACGCATTTCCCTGACTCAGATCTTTTCCCTCTGTTTATTTGGCTTCCATGAACATCCCTAAAAGGCCATTTACTACTGTGGTTAAGTTCTTAGACTAGAACTGGGCTGCCTGAGTGCAAATTTTGGCTCTCCTGCTTGCCTTGGGCAAGTTACTCAGTTTTCTCATCTGTAATGAGTTACGAGAATGAAATGAGTACGTATATTTAAATGCTTAGAAGATTACCTGACCCCTGGTGAGAGCAATTAGATTTAAAAGTGGTTTTTATCCTCCCTCAGACTGAGTATGGCCTCCTTCCTTCTATTACACTGGAACCTATAAGCTATAAGTTCTTGTATTGCAAAGAGAGATTCCTAGGTAGTAACGATCCAAAATCTGAAGGGATGAATTTTTGAAATACACCCAGAAACTCTGGATGGGTTCTATGTAACCACTCAATCAAATCCGTGGCAGGTATCTAACTGCCCAGTGGGTTTTATTTTAGTGGCATATTCTCCTGAACATCATACATCAATGGAGTAAAAAGCCAAGATGCCAAAACCATAACAACCATTTATTCATTTAATACACATTTTATTGGGAGCGCACCACCTGCCAGGCACTGTGCAGGGCTGGCGAGTGAGAATGGATGGAGCAGCAGGGCTCACAGCTCACTGCCTGCAGCCTAAGGCTCAGTAGGGGAGATGGATCTTAATAAACACACACGCATTTAATGGCCAATGTGGATAAGTGTCATGGAGAGAAACACGGGGCTGTGAAAGAAGGATGGGGCTGGGAGCTGGGAGCCCAGTTTAGGTTATAGTGTAGAGGAGGGCTTCTCTGAGTTGACTTTGGGGAAAAACCAATGAGGCGTTGCTGAAAAGCAGAAAGAGGGCATGGACAGGGAAGTTTTGGCAGGAAGGCCCTGAGGCAGGACAGTCTGTAAGGCACTTTGAGAATGCCACAGGATGGGGGCAGCGGGAGGGAGCCAAGGGGAACAGGAGGACTTAGAGCGTCGGAGCCCACTGGGGATGCAGGAGGCGACCTGATTGGTAATTAGGAAAGACTGCCCTGGGTGCTAGTGTTCCAGGCTAGACCTCACACTGGCTTGGACTAGAGAGAAAACGGAGAAAATGGAAAGAAGTTGAGAGATGCCAGGTGGATATTAGGGCTGCTAGTACTAGGAGGGAGAGGAAGCCATCATGGATGAGTGCTAGGGTTATAGTTCAAGGAACCTGGAGGACAAAGATATCATTCATTCATTGATTTAGGGGGAAATAGTCAGAGAAGTATTCCTTGAAGAAAGTAATCTTTTAGTTCTGAACGTATTGGAATTCTGTGAGAAGAAACAAAGCCCAAAGGATTATACAGCAGTTGAGAGTTTCTCAGTGGACAATTGACAGAAAATCCAACCCAAATTATTTAAGCAGAAAAGGAATCTCTTGACACTCATGAGTAAAAAATTGAAGGAGATGGCCTTCCAGCATAGCCTGACCAAGTCCGCAAATGGTGTTCTTAGGACCTGGTTTTACCCGATTCCTTGGCTCTGCTTCTTTTGCCTTGGGTCCAGCTTCACAGGCTCTGTCCCCTGTGGGGGTCACATGGCTGCAGCATGTCCTCATCTTCTCCCAGGGGTAGTTCTTTCAGTAGCTCCCCAAAAGGCCTAAATTTCACTCTGACTTGGTGCATCTAAGACGGCAGGATCAGAGGGACAGCAGGATGTACCCAACCTGGAGCTCAGTGTGCCCAGGGGAATACAAAAATCTGACTGGCTCAGGCTGGGTGGTATGCTCTGCCCAGACCAAAAGACTCAGAGAGGGAGAGGCAAGGATTCCCAGTGAAAACTCTGCAGCTGTTGTGCTTAGCAAGGGAAATAGATGGGTGGGTGGTAAGGGAATAATGTATATCCTCTGTGAGGTCATCTTAAAAACTCTCCTTTAGTAGAGAATGGCCCAAATTACTTATGGGGCTACTATGGGACTCTGGGGAAACACAGATTCAGCCTGCGTCTGAAAAACCTCATAAGGCCGTTTTTTCAAGTACGTAAAATGGCCCAATGCAGGCAGAAGTTGTCGTCTTTTGCGGGCCTTAGAAGAACACGGAGAAAGCAAACTTCCTCTGAAAACCACTTGTCCGAAAGCTGCTATCATTCTTCTGAAGAATAGTAAGGACTGGGTTTATAAAATACCATGTGCTAAGTGATCTGTTGTCCACCCTGTGACTGCAGAAAAAACAAACCTCAGGCAGCATTTGACTACTTCTAGGTAAAAAAAAATTTCTAGGTGATTATATTCTAATTTTCACTTCAGTTTAGTGTGTATGGGGACAGGGAGATGAGATGAAGCATCTAGGAAACAACCTAGCAGGGGAGATGGAGAAGCAAATACAACATCAGGAGGATGTGAAACAATGAACATGTGTCCAAAAACAAAGCAACAGTGCAGTCTTAGTTCTGCTGTTGCAGAAACCTTCCCAGATGTGACAATGGATGCCTGAGTGCGTTCTGAAGACTAAGCCGGAAGGGGAAAAGACGGCAGCTCTTTCCCATGGAGGGAGGATCGTGAGCAGTGTTCGGAGGCCTGACTACACGGCACGCTTTTGGAGACAGTGTGGATTCAGAGTTTAGATCACAGCTGCCCCTCCAACTCTGTTTCACAACTGCCTAAACTTGAGTTTCTTCATTATAAAGTAATAACTCCTCTGTCATGGACTGTTCGGAGAATTAAACCTCAGCCATCATTGTTGGTATGAGTCTGGCCTGAGAGAAGTGTGAAGGGGTTGTGGTGGGGGATGAGGCTGGGAGAGCTTAGGAGTCAGACCATAAGAGGCTCTGATGGCTCCACTAAGGAGTGTGGCTCTTATCCTGAAGGCACTGGAGAGCCCTTTAAATGGCTCTGAAATGACCTGATCAGATTTGTGTTGCCGTAGGAAGAATGAGGGTGGAGACATGAGACCAGCTAGGAGACTGTTACAGAAATCCAGTGAAAGAATGACAAAGGCATGAATTACAAGTCTTGGCGGTTATGGGAACTGTGTGTGTAGGGTGGGGGTAGTCTTTAAGGAGGCAGGTGCTGTGGGGGCAGACTGAAGAAGTATTTAGGAGCGGTCATACAGCTCCACTGGGCAGAAAGCCCAGCAAGCTATGGCCAATTAGACAGGCCCCTGGCCCGTGAAATCCGGACCAGACTAGGTATCTTGGAGTGATACTTAAGCTAGTTAATAACCAACTAACATGAAGTAGCACACAGAGTCACCAGGACAGGCATGTGAACAGAACACAGTATTCTTGTCCTAAGCCACACAGTCACCTGCCAAGTTTTCTTTCTTTATCTCAACCCTGCTAAGGCAGGCCAACAAAAATTCCCCTTTTTGCCCCCTTCTCCCTGGGGAGAGACTAGACTGGAAGCGTAGGAGTTATCCCTGGCAAAGGAGAACAGGCCAGAAACTCAACTACTGGGTCCGTAAGTGCCAAAGCCTGGTCCCTGATACTGAATTCTTACAATAACACAAGTGTTTCCTGTTGCCCGAATCCAAAGCCCATGTTCCTCTTCACTACCTAGGAGAGCGACGGGTTAAATGGGTACCTCTGTCCCTCTTCCCACCCCAGGTCTAATGGGGTGTCCAGAGCAAAACAGGACGTCAATAAGTATTTGAAAGAACAATGAAAGAATGTGCCTTAGACTACTTCCATGTCTCAGGTAGCTTTTTCCATCGCACTGGCTATGTGAGTCCTACCCATCTTTCAGAGCCTAGTTCCTAAACCGCCTTATCACGCCAGCTTGCCTTGCCCTCAAACACCTGCACAGCCCTCGCTGGCTCCGAGTTAGCGCACTCAGCCCTGCGCACCTTGATGAGTCCTCCGACAGTCGCCTCCCTGCCTGGGCCCGCTGCTAGCGGGCGGGCTGTGCGTCAGGCCAAGGAAGGAGGGCAGGGTTCGCACCCTAAGATGTTGTCGTTTTACTGACAGTCTGGCTTTAAATCAGCGTGGCTCTTTTGGGGACCCCACAGTATAGTTTGTCCTTTTTCATTGCAGTAATTTTCTCTCTGGGAAACAGAAAGAGAAGTTGCTCAAAGTCAGGGTTAAAGATACTCAATGACATTGTCCTGCCCTCATCAACTTCTTATCGGTGCCCGGTGCACAGGGGGTGAATTCCTAGCCTTCCTGGGCCATCTCCAAAGTCAGGCCTGCTTTAACTCTCTCTTTGTTTTCGAGTTTTAATCCTTCATCTCAGAGTCTGACTCTCAGGCACCGCTTCCTCCAAAGTGCTTGGGGCTGCCACCGAAGCACAAGCCATACGGACCAGCGCCGATCAGGGCCCACAAGTGCATCTCCTGCCCTGTCCCCTATTTGGGGTGAGCTTCGGCAGGCTTGGACCACTTAAGTGCCTTGTACCCCTCTACACTCATGTGCCCAGCGTTAGCAGAATACCCTCATGTTTGTTAGAGCCTTACAAGGTGCCTGTCTGTGCCTGACATCATTTGAGCACCACAATGGCCTTATGACCAAGGCAAAGACAGTGTTACTATTTTCTAATGACATTTTTTTCCCCCTGTACGCTTTTATAGAAAATTTGGGAACTCTAAGGAGTAAATAGGAGGGAATAAAACCCTCCAATAACTAGAAATGCACCATCCAGACAATATTTTACTTCCTTCCTTCCAATTTTTCTATGCACTTACATGTATTTGTTTTCTATTCCATTCTCCTTCACTTTCTAATCTGCTATTATTTATATTTATTACTCTCTAGGACAGGTATTATTATCCTCATTTTACAGATGAGGATAGTTTAAGCTCAGGGTCACACAACTAATAAGCAGCAGAACTGGACACAGGTTTTCTTGTTGTTAGTCTAATGCAAGAGCAGGAATTCAAACAATTCTTTTCTTTTTTTTCAATTACAGTTTACATTCAATATTATTTTGTATTACTTTCAGGTGCACGGCATAGTGGTTAGACAATCATATACTTTGCAAAGTGATCCCCCTGATATTTCAAGTACCCACCTGGCACCATATGTAGTTATTACAATATTATTGACTACGCTGTACTTACATCCTTGTGATTATTTTGTGACTACCAATCTGTACTTCTTAATTTCTTCACCTTTTTCACTCAACTCCTCAACTCTCTCTCCTCTGACAACCATCAGTCTGATCTCTCTATTTATGAGTCTGTTTCTATTTTCTGTGTTCACTTATTTTGCTTTTCAGATTCCACATATAAGTAAAATCATATGGTATTTGTCTTTCTCTAACTGATTTTACTTAGCATAATACCCTGCAGGTCCATCCATGCTGTAACAAATGGTAAGGTTTCATTTTTTATGGCCGAGTAATATTCCAGTGTATATATGTACCGCCACTTTTTTATCCACCTGTCTGTTGTTGGATACTTGGGTTGCTTCCATGTCTTGGCTATTGTAAACATGCTGCAATGAACATAGGGGTGGATATATTCTTTTGAATTAGTGCAATACACAATCCTTGAATTCAGGAATAGAAATGATTATATACACAATGTTTGTGTAAGGGACAACCTGAAAAGTGAGGTAGATCTGCCTGAAATGTTAGGTCAGTTATCTGATGGAAAGGGAGCTTGGATGGAATTTAGAAAGAACCATCATTAATGAAAAATAATAGCCTTTTATTTTTCTCCCCTCCTCAAGCAGATACTGAGAAGTTAACAAACATTACTCAGTTGGCAGAGCCAAGGACCAGAGATGTCATCAACAGCCTGGAACATGCCATTGTCTCCCGGAGCCCACGCATCCGCTACAACCCTGGCCTGGATGCCAAACTCCTCTACCTCCCCTTGTCTAAGTTGCCCACCCCTGTGACAGATTTCATCCTAAGCCGATACCTTCCAAGGCCAGCAGACAGCGTCTGAGCCTGAGAAGCCCAAAGGGTGGTCAGTGGAGTGTCCAGAAGGGGGCTGGGAGAAGGGACTCTGAGGCTACAAGAGATGGCATCAGACATTCTGGAGACACTTTGCTTGGCTGACACACATTGCTGGTGAATTTATGGTAACTTCTAACAGAAGATGAGGGCCTCTTCCCACTCACTGTGGCCACACAGAAACCTGTGGTAGCCTTTTTATGTTCAAAGACCCGCAGGATGGCCCTGAGAACATCTGTCACCTGGTCAGTATGTGGCTTTTTCTGGACCTGGAAAAGTCAAGGAGATAATAACTAACTCCTACTCATGAACCTCCCTCAGTTGTCGCTGCCACTGGGAAATATTGTGGCACAATCCAGCCCACGGGAGAATCTCAACCGCTTTCTTATTGGGTCTCTAAATATGCATTAACCTCTTTCACATAACCCATTATTTGAAGTATGTGGTAGGGCAAAGAGGGAGCACAAGAATAATCAGGGAAAAATTTATAATATTTTCTTTCTCTTTAGATTTCTCTGTCCATAGGTGATTGGGGCCCACATGAAATAGTATCCATTTATTTAATTACCATTAATTAATTCTTCAAATATTTATTGAGTACCTGTTACATACCAGGCACTGTGTAGCTGCTAGATTATAAAATGATTAAATCATGGTTTCGGTTTAATTTGTGCTTTTGTTCTTGTTTTTTAGCACAGTATCTAGTAGTAAAGATGGACAATCAGTGACAAAAGAAACAGAAATCAGAAAGTCACATTTTTAGAGCTGTGAAGAATCTTGGAGGTCATCTAACAAAGTGGGTCTCAAACTTGGCTGTATGTCATAATCATGTAGTTAACTAAAATACAGATTCCTAGGCCTCAGTGTTAGAAAATATGACTTAGTAAACTTGGGATTGGGCCCAGAAATCTGTATTTGTAACAAGAACCTACATGATTCTGATGCACTTGGGAACTGCTGATAGTTCCACAGAAGGAATTAATGCTCAGAGGAAGATGTAACCTGTTCAAAGCCCCCCAGCATAGTGATCAAGATAGAACTTGGGTGTTCAGATTCCCAGCATAGGGTTTTAGTTACAGTAGAATAAATTTCTGAAATTTGTAACATTGTTAAAGAATTCATTGAACTAAATTTTTAAAAAGTACCTTTTTGGGCCATATGAAGTTCTCTTGAAAAAAGACTCTTTTGATCTTGAGGAATGGTCATGTAATAAAGGCAAATGCGGAAATTTTTTATTATAATGTCTTTGTGTTTCTTTAATATCCAGCTGTACTTGAAAAATAATAAAATATAACTTAATGGCATCTACAAAAGACCCCTTTTCCAAATAAGGTAACATTCACAGATTCCAAGGATTAGGATGTAGACATATCTTTTTGGGGGCAACCATACAACCCACTGAATCTATTATTCGCATCACTTCTATTCCTGCACTAAATTCTGTGTCAGGAAGGATGCATTGAGCTGCAAGTGACTGAAAAGCCAACTCACCATTGGCTTAAACAATAAAGAGTTAGAGCAAGGCCCCATAGGTGAATCAAGGTGTTAATGGTTCTTCTTGCCAACACAGTAAAGGATTATAAGTTAGCAAGTCTACTGGTGTGCAAGCAGAGTTTATGAGTGATACATTCTCATGGAAGAGAACGGGCCTTGCCAAGGTAGGGGTGAAAGGCATAGGTTCAGGCCATGGCAAAGTAAGGGCAGCAAGAGGCAAGAGCCAGGGTGGCAAGAGCCCCAGGTCCTTTGTTCTGAGAACTTACATAGTTGGCAGGATGGGGATAAAGAAGTTACCGATTGATTAACAGGTAAAGGTGATGCCAGCTCTCCCGGGGGACATGACTACCCAAACATAGCTATATGTGGGGGTCTGTGTCTGAATCCTTATCTTGCTCCAATCCCCATTTGTTCATCTTGTTGTAAAACAGATACGTGACAGGAGGCAGTTAATTAAAGTTAGGGCAGTTACCCACAGTTATTTATGAGCTCTTTCTGTAAGTATTAGGGACTCCCTCATAAAACAGATAGTGACTAGAGGTAGGCAATTAACCAAAGTTGTTTTATGGACTTCTTTGGGCCCCATGGATCTCCTCCTCTTCTCCCTTTCAGGCCTTGGGACGAATATACAATTTCAAGGCTTTCTTTCCCAGACAGTGGAAACAATACACAGAATTCCAAGGACTTCCCTCCTTCCTTGTTAACACTGAGTTTCTTGTGATGTTGGAACACCTGGCAGTATTATCATACCAGGCTCAGGACTGCTGAGTTACTGAGCGAGACAAGTCTCTCCCTCCTCCTCCCTGTCTTGGTTTATTATCCATCCTACCTAAGTGCTAAAAGGTGTTTCCTAGCAACCAGGACGCTAGATGCTGGCCTGTAACAGCAGCGCAGTCTGGGAGTTCTTCCTATGCTATCTCTTGCCTCAATGGCCTCAAGATACAGGTTCTTTCTGCTTCTTTGTTCTGCCATTCACAGTTTTGGCTGTAACCTAAGTCCAATTACCTTTATTGTTGGTATCTTTATTGTAACTATGACTGCCAGTGGCAATGGGAACTCTGTGCTTCCTCATTCACAACTTAGAGAAGAAAGAGCCTGTCTTTCCATGGCTTTAAAGACTGAGGAAGTTTCTTTCCCAAATCCCTTATCAAGACTCTGCTTGAATCTCATTAGCCCAAATTAGCTTATGTTTGTTATCCCTGAACCTATCATTGACAAGGGGGTAAATCACCCTGAACTGCTCAGATTAAGCATGGAACAGAATGAAAATATTGGGGAGTAAGGAACAGTGCCTACTGTCCTGGGAAATTAAAAACTTGAACTCTTTGCTATTGAGAGAGTTCAATCTAGATCAAAAATAAATTTTCCTTGTTGAAGACACAAAAATTTGCTACTGGGAGACTATAGCTAGTTAACACTTTGAGGTGTTTACACATTTTCATTGCTTCTTGGTTTCCTATTTCCTCTTTCCCCACTCAAGTAGGGAGCCAATTTGGTACTTCTTTACCTAGGGTGAGATATTTGACATAAGGGAAAGAGTACATTTCCTGCACTTTATCTAGCTTTGCTTTCTCAACCCTAATATCTTTAGAGAAATCACAGCATTTGGGGGGGAAAAAGCAAAAGAGAAAGTGACATTATGGATGCACATAATGTCTCAGAGAAGCAGAGCCTTTCCCCTAAGAGAAGATTCACTCTGCCGGTGAGAGAAGAGGGTGAGGTTTAGAGCTTCCAGAGCAGGAGTGTTTTGCGACCATTCAAGGCCGGACAGGTTCATGGGATTTGGGCAGACGGAAGAAACTGCATGGAGCCATAGGAATGCCAGACATGCCTTTATGCTCAGGTGGGGCAATCTACGCCGTGGGAAGCCCCTGCCTCCTTATATAGTAAATACAGACAAAACCAGCAGAAAGCCAGTACACGTTGTATAACAGTGAGATTCTGCACACATGAGCTCACTCAATGTTATGGGAACTGTTTATCGGACCCAATCTCAAGGCTATGAGAACACAGCTTAACTTGAAAGGTTCCCCCAGACATCTGGGTGAGGAGAGCAGAATGCCTCCACTTACCCTACAAGGAGGAACCAGGGGTCACTTTCTGGAAGTATGTTGCGAAGATGGCTAGACTTGAGAGTCACAGTTGTATTGTGTGTTCAGGCAGATGAGACCCTGGGTGACCTCACAGAAAACTCATCTGTCCCACCGCGGCAGGAATGCAGTAGAGATATAAAAGGCATGCAGACCGGGACAGTAGACATTTAAGAAATAACCTACTCATACAGAAGAAAATATTTTATTCTGAGGTTATCCTGCCACCCCATCATTAATAGCTGAGGTATTTTCGGATACGTGAGATTCATATCTGCTCTATCATTGTGTTTTAGTATATTTAATGTTAAGATCATACCTTTTTGCCCTGGCTGGTGTGGCTCAGGGGATTGAATGCCAGCCTATGAACCAAAAGGTCATAGGTTAGATTCCCAGCCAGGGCACATGCCTGGGTTGCAGGCCAGGTTCTCCATTTGGGGGTTGTGCAAGAGGCAACGAACTGTTGTATCTCTCACACTTTGATCTTTCTCTCCCTCTCCTTCTCCCTCCCTTCCTCTCTCTCTAAGTATATAAATAAAATCTTTTAAAAAAAACCCAAACAACTGTATAACCTCTTTGGAAGCCCCTCTGGAAAAAAAAAAAAGATCATAACTTTTCTTGTATACCTTTTGTATTTTCTTAGAATTTTTAATTGCCTTTCCTTTTCTCAGTCTCTTGTTCTGCCTCTTAATCAAATTATCTCCACGTTTTTTTAAAGCAGAAAAGTAATGTGATCTGATTTCAATTTTTATTTTTTAAATTATATTTTATTGATTATGCTATTACAGTTGTCCCGATTTTTTCCCCCTTTGCCCCTCTCAACCCAGCACCCCCGACTCCCTCAGGCAATCCCCCCATCATTGTTTTTGTCCATGGGTCATGTGTGTAAGTTCTTTGGCTACTCCACTTCCTACACTGTATTTTACATCCCCATGGCTATTCCGTAACTACTTCTTTGTACTTCTTAATCCCCTCATCCCTTCACCTATTCTCCCCTAACTCCTTCCCATCTGACCACCATCAAAACGTTTCCCTATCCTTGATTCTGTCTCTGTTCTTCTTGTTTGTTTTTTAGATTCAATTGTTGATAGATATGTATTTTTTGCCATTTTATTGTTCATAGTTTTGATCTTCTATTTCTTAAATAAGTCCCTGTAACATTTCATAATATAATGGTTTGGTGATGATGAACTCCTTTAGTTTTTTTCTAGTCTGGGAAGCTCTTTACCTGCCCTTCTATTCTAAATGAGAGCTTGGCTGGGTACAGCAATCTTGACTGTAGCTCCCTGCTTTTCATGACTTTGAATATTTGTTGCCAATCCCTTCTAGCCTGCAAGGTTTCTTTGGGGAAATCAGCTGACAGTCTTATGGGAACTCCCCTGTAGGTAACTAACTTCTTTTCTCTTGC